CAGTATAAATAAATTATTCCTCGTTATGTTCCTTTACCATTTATATTCTTATTTTCTCTTTAGTTGTATTTATTATTTTGTCTATCTCGGTACTTTTAAACTCTTTTTTCCATTCCCCTTGAAGGTAATTTCAGCATTGCATGGATTTTTGAATGACCATGTGTTGGAAACAATGGCCCTAAAGAAATCAATAACTTTCTTTGGCAAACTTTTCCATCTGAGAAGTGAATCAGGATTAGTTGTAAATAATGTAAATGTTTATAAAAATTGTAAATAAAATTTAAGGCAAATTAAAGAAAAAAAACAACATAAAAGTTTGTTGAAGAAGTCTATCCCACACATTAGATGTAGTTTGGGCGTTTTTGAAATAAAATGTCATCAAAATATAAAATTTCACCACAACTCATACATTTAATTATATGGAAATATATTATTTATACATGTATTGTCCGAACAAAAACATTTTAGTAAAGTTATTGCAATGTTTATCCTGCTGTCATTTTAAACCGTTGCAACGTTTTATTTGTAAATATTGCCTATAATTGTCAACACACCCGTTAAATTATTGCAAGTAGATTAGTTGGTTGCGGGAAGAACAATTGTGCGCTTGGTAAGGTTTTAATTCTACATTCGATTGCTGCGCAATATATCATAGAAAAATATGTCTATAAAAAGAGTCGAAAAAGAAGAACATATCTTGGTTATAATCCGGTTTAAAATAGTAAGTTCTACCTGCATCAAGCTGTTCTACTTAATACATGTTAACGGGTGTGATGAATAGAGGTGTTCATGGCTATGGTAAAGTGAAACGGTCACAACTGCAAATTTTACTTCTTTGCACATTTAATAACTGTAAACAAATAGAGTCTACTGTACGTCGATGTTTTTGTACCGATTTTTGTGAGAGTATAGCTTTAATATCGAGCGCCTTGTTCTAGAAAAATGCCTTATTTCGCAGACTTTTGTAACAATGTTAAACTATGGAACAGAATTAATGCATTTATTCCATCTTGCTTTATGATATCGGAACTTACATTATGCTTGCTTCTAAACTTCTTTATGACAATGAAAACCTTCGTTTTGCTGAATTCAATCATGCCTTGTGATTACTAAATGCACTTTCATGTAATTGCAACCTTGTGTGTTCCCTACTAAACCATCAAACTCACATATTTTAATATGCCATATGTTTAATTGCATCTTTTTTTAAGGACAACGTATTATGTTTGGTGTTTAAGATAACATTCTTTATAACTATATGTAACATGGTAGTTGTATCTTTAATTTGCTATAAATCTGCCACTTATATTGTCGACATTATATCAAAATAAACTATTCATTTTGATTAATAATTGGCGAATTTGATGTGTCTTAGTATTCATATGCTTCAATATATTCACTGATTACAAATATAATGCAATACATGATCACTGCGCATCGACAACGAAGATGACAACGATAGCGATATTATAGTCGCATGTGACAGTACGCACTAAGCAGTTGGCAGTAAGCATAATGCGAGTTGCAATAATTTGTGTTCATATTATGACAGCAGGTGTCGCTTTGTCGGTACATCCCGTTATTTTCCGGATGATCCCGTATTTTGGCACGTGGAGTAAACAAAGTTACGTCCACTTTATATAGGGGCGTATACAGAACAGTGTTAGTTGGGGACTGACATGTAAATTTACTGAAAAACAAGAGAACACGATGCGACAGACGAAAAGTGCGTGTTTTTGAAGATTCCGCCAGCATGTGGAAAAAAAAAGCTATATATGTCTCTAATAACTCATCCTACAAGTGGCAACTCACCGCTTATAAAATTGTTTACACTTCTTTTTGAGCGTGTGTGATAAGTGAAATTGAATTTTATCAAACTTAAGGGGGTACAAAGGTGACATGTGTGTGTTTTTATTTATCTCGTGCGCACGAGATACTGTGTCGTGGCCACGGGTTACTAAGTCGTGGCCACGAGATAGTTAAGTCGTCGGAACGAGATACTATGTTGTGGCCACGAGTTACTATGTCGTGGCCACGAGAAAGTTTAGTCGTGGCCACGAGAAAGTTAATTCGTGCGAACGAGATAATTAACTAATCAAATTACACTATTTATATGAATTTTCCTAACAAGGATGCCCCTACTTCACTTGCCCGTAAAAGTGCCATTTTTACAAGTTATTGATTGGTCAAATATTTAGCGTCATTGTGACCCTGATTTCAGACACAATTGCCTAAAAATTATTAGGTGTCATCTACTGATCTTTTTAGGTTATATAAACTACGGCTTATTCTTTCTAAATCATTCATCAGACAAGGATTTTACATGAAGTGCCATGTTTATCTGACCTGTGACCTCAAACATCCTTATAGGATATCTACTGTCCATGGGCAATGTCCCTTCCCAATAAAATAAACCAGGACTAAGTCCCTCTAAAGTTATGGTATGAACAATGTTAACAGGCCTTTGTACGTACAAAATGATCAATTCTATCATAGAATTGTCCCAACAAAGGGCTATAACTTAGTCAAAATTAATGTCTGATTTATGGGCCTTATGATCCTAAAGACATGTATTAAGTTCAAAGTGAACACTTCAGTATTTTCAAAGATTAATGTTTCACGTAAATCTTATAACAGAAATTTTCTAAGTTTAAAAAATCATTGTGTAATCTTATTTAATTATCTCGTATGCACGACTTAGTTATCTAGTTCCCACGACTTAAACGACTTAGTAACTCGTGGCCATGACATAGAATCTCGTGGCTACGATATAGTATCTCGTTCCCACGACTTAACTATCTCGTGGACACGACTTAGTAACTCGTGGCCACGACACAGTATCTCGTGCGCACGAGATAAATACAAACACACACATGTCACCTAGTAACTCGTGGCCACGACTAAGTACAGTACTAACTTGATTTTTTTTTTAAATAAAATAAATATAATTTGGCTTCACACAAACATTGTGCTTTAAATCCTTTACACTGTAAGTGGGCAGTATGAATATACATGTATAGTGTTATTACAAAAATATATATGGAAGTTTCTTTTAAAGACAGGCACAACTTTACTTGACCCGTAATAAGGAAAGCAGATTCCTATACATTATGTGTATGTCTTTTTATTTAAATAAAACATATTAAGTAAGAATTTTTTAGACTTCAATAAATTTCTGTGATAAAAATATATTACTGAAAGATGTGCATAGTATATCTTTAAGCACAAATGTATGTGAATGTGGTGGTGTGTGCGGGATGTCTGATCTATAATCAGACACACATATGCCCAACATTTATAATTGACTATGCACATGTCACAAAAATAAACAACTTCCTTCTTTCCTTATTATACATGTATATTTTAATGTGTTACATACCTATTCGCCGCTATTAGTGACTCTGAGACATTTATTAAGTTAATAGGCCAATTAATAAGTTTTGCTTTTAATGTCCAAGTCATTAGATAAAGACCTTCGCAATCGCAATACCTGGGCAGGTGCTTAACAACTGGATGACAGCATTATATGTTTTGATAAGGGAGTACACTATGACCACTATTGCATGAAACTTACACGTATATATTCCATCCCAGCTCATCAACGTATCTTTGGGAGTAGGTGCAGCCCTTAAGCCAAGGCCTGAATCCGCCACTGTACGTATAACTGCCCCATTGAATAACTGTTTACGAGCATATTTTTCTATTAGACTGTATACATATACATGTATAAAATTATATTGCATAATCCTTACTACTTGTATTTATATTCTTTCCACTGCAATTTATGTATTAAGCGCTTGGTACGTATTTATAGCATTGTCGCCCTCTGTATTTTAATGTATAACCACGATGGCCCTAACGGTATTCCGTAATATATACATGTACGGAAAATTCCGATGATAGGCGAATCATGGAAAAAATCCGTTGATATCGATAACAGAGTTCTTGCCCTTAACAGTTCACAAATCGCTAGACATAGTTTAAATTGTTTATCATAATGTAAGATGATCAAACATAATCCACAAAGCCTCAGACACCGAGCTTTATTAAGCATAAACACTGAATAATGGATATAAGCGAAAGCTAATAGTAATCACGCCATGCGAGCTATAAATCAAATCAGTCACATTTTAACAAAATCCATCAGGGAACAAAAAATAGTCAATTTTAAATGACTTCTACATAAAAGTAATACAAGAAAAACTAAACCATAAATAGTTTGTATAGAGCATGAAGAAAGGTAGCTTATACATAAATGTATATGACGTTAACATTTTAGTATTCCAAATGGCTCGTTCCAGTTTAATAGTTATCACTCACTACGAAATAATGAAAAAGGGAATCAAGAATAATGCAACGTTTAAATATCATTAAGCAGGATGGAATCAATCATAATGCAAGTTCTAATGTCATGTAGCAAGATGGAATTAAGCATAATGCAAGTTCCAATGTCATCAAGCAAGATGGAATCAAGCATAATGCAAGTTCCAATGTCATCAAGCAAGATAGAATAAATGCATTAATTCTGTTCCATATTAAACATTTTTTGTCTTTTCATGTTGACAAAGAATAATTCCAAAATATAAGAAATATGTTTGTATATTTCCTTACCAGCGGATTCCACATTCATGAACGTAATAAAGTTCTGCTCAATGGTAAAACCCCTACTTAAAAATATCAGTACAATGTATAATGTTTTGTTTCAAAATATTAGAAAAGAGATAACCGCAGGGGCAATGGAAAAAAATATAATTCAGCTGGCATTTCTATGTCTGTAATTATTTGTCAAATATACATTCCGGTGTTGAACAAATATATTATCGACATGTAGATCTATGCTCTATCTACGCAAAGTCAATGTCTTATAGATCTCATAAAATAAACAAACGGATAATGAAAATAAAGTTCGTGTCTTGACTGAAATTTCGCGGCATGCAAACTGTCCGCATGCAAATTATTAAAGCGTCAAACGCTAACGCCGGTTGCTAAATTTAGAAATTGCACTTAATTGATCACGTGACTAAACAAAATGGCTGCCGAGATCAAACCCACTAACAAAAGTGGGAATGGAAATGTACGAAAACCAGTGTTAGTAAGTAAAATAGAGGGTCATCAAGATGATGTCAACATGGCGTGTATTATCCCTCGGGAGGAGGGCGTTATTTCAGTGAGTGATGACAAGTAAGTGTCGGGTTAGACGAGTTTTACACCTGTCAAAATGTATAATTGAAAAACAGGAAGTGCTGTAATTGACTAATCAACAGCTGTTTCTTCCATTATTCTTTGTGTTTTCAACATTTTGCCATTGCAATTATCAGTGTCATGAATATATGCAGATGAAAAGGTTTATATATTCTTTGCTTAAATAGAAATGTCCTTGTAATACCTTGCAAGCAATGTAAGCAAATTTTATCTAGATCCATTTAATTGATTAAAATTATGTTTTTTATTTTGTAAATTAAAATGCATATTTTTTAACATGAAGTGTAGATGAAGAGTTTTAAGATACAGTAAAGTACCACCTAAAACAAATCACAAATAGGAACACTCTGTCCAGTTTTCAAAAGTACAAAATATTTGCCTAATTTCGTTATTCATTGAGAAAAATTATCAGTATACTGACCATGTCTCTAGTAAATTATTGCGACCACTTTTTGGCAGGCATTTATAAGTATTTCTTATCAAAACATTAACCTGTAATTCCACCATAAAGAAAAGCTGTTAATTAATAATTATATATACACATCAAATGGAGTATAAAAACTTGGAAAAATGGGTAGGGCCAACTCTCTAATGTTGCCTGACCCTTTTGCTTTTAATGAATAACTTCAGCATCCATGTAAAAACTGTTAATTTATTCAATACACTGTTTTGTCTTATGTTTGAATGTGACATTATCTTCCAAATACATTTAAGTTAATGATTCATTTTATATGACAATACTTATTTAATTGTTTCAAGACACCAACATCTTCAGGCCAAATAGTAATAAATTAGCTAACAGCACTAAAATCTCTACTGTATAGATCTATATTGTTTATGCTGTAAAAATTACTTTAATGTTACAGAACTGTTAGAGTATGGTTACGAAGAGACACAGGCCAGTACTGGCCAAGTATTTGCCACACAATGCCAGGTAAGTTATGCTCAAATTTCAAGAAACTTTCCATTTTATTTTAAAATAATTAAACTCAAAGGTTTGAATTTTGACATAATTATACTTTAAACTAATTATTCAAAATTATTTTCTTCCTGAAATGTTATATGGTTTTGTCACTAGCTAGAGATGGTGCAGTTCAGTGTTTTACATAACATGAGTTTGAACAGTATTTTATTCACACAAAAATATGCATGTTCATTACAAGCATTATGGAGTCTTAAATATACAAAAATATCGCAAGGTAGTGTTTGATCTTTAACTAAGGACAAAATATAATAGTAAACTAGGTTATATCAGATGATTCTTGTAAGTCTTTAAATTTTGTTTGATAAAATTTCAGTAAATTGCAAGAAATTTTTGACAAAAATTAACAATTAATATCATACCTTACATAAAGGTGTTCCTCCTTTATATATAATGTAAGTGTCAGCAAGGCATTATATAATCTATGCACTGGGTGAAACATAATTATCTTTGCATTTATTTTGATAGGGATACATTTTGACATACTTTACACCATCTAGACTTGGATGTTCAAAAAATTATATAAATAAAACTTACTTTTACTTTGTTTTTAAATTAATTGTACCCTATTAAGTCAACAAATTATGAAAACATTAATTTGCATACAAAGTGAAAAACAAAATGTATAATTTTAGCTGCTGCATCGAGTATGTTGTTCAATGGAGAGACAAGAAGATTGTTTATTGGTCTTGATAATGGAACTATATCTGTAAGTTATACCTTTCATTACTAAGTTTGTATAATCAACCAGCTGAGTTCATTTATTTTGATACATTTTTTTTCTCTTGAGCTGTAACATAACAAAACATATATTTTTATATATAAAGATGATAGATTAAATTTTTTTCTGCACAAAGTGTTAACAAACTACAAAAACCTAACTAAGAGGTAAAAAAGATTTAAACCTGGATAAAATTCCAACTATTAGCAATTATTTGTTAACTTGAAGATATTACTTTAATCAGAACATTTGTACCATTTGCTCAGTACTGGTGGGTTCAAGGAATGGATTCAAGAGTGTTTCATTAAGCTTAAAGCTTTCAACACAGTCAGCCTAAAATAAATTTGTATGAACTAGAATAAAATATGTTATATACATTCTTATCAACAGAGAAATAATTTCTGCATTTTAGGAATTTACAGTATCAGATGATTTTAACAGAATGTCACTGACCAGAGATTACCTTGGTAAATATTCTTATAAATTGTATTATTAGAATATTGTGCATCTATTAAATACTTAAACAAATATTGAATATAGATTTACTATAAATGAGCCACGTCACGACAAAACCAACATAGTGGGTTTGCGACCAGCATGGATCCAGACCAGCCTGTGCATCCACGCAGTCTGATCAGGATCCATGTTGTTCGCTTTTAGTTTCTCCACTTGTAATAGAGTTGGTAAGCGAACAGCATGGATCCTGATCAGACTGGGCGGATGCGCAGGTTGGTCTGGATCCATGCTGGTCGCAAACCCACTATGTTGGTTTTGTCGTGACGCGGCTCAAATAGTTATGTTTACTCTTAACCCTTACTTAATCTATGTAATAGTTTTGCCTTTTTTTGAATTTTCAAAAGTGAAGCTATTTATAATGTGTTAGTGACATTCATTTCTAAATATAGAAGATTGGGAAATGAATCGTCCTTTTTACTAATTTAAATATAGGGAGCTGTCTGGTAGATTAGAGGTATCGAGGGGTTTCCTGATTTTTTTATGTATTTAATCATTGGCAAATTTCATTTTTCACCTTAATTCTTTGAGTTTAACAATTATCTGAAACAATTTATATTTATATCCCTTAATCACTTTACCGCTAACATTTTGAGATGATGAGTGATGTAATTTATTTTAAAATGTTTCAGCTCATCAAAGCAGAGTGACGAGTATGCAGTTCTCATTACAACGAGAATGGCTGTTAAGTTGCGGTCGTGACAAGTATTTTCAGTGGCATTGTTCCGAGACCGGGCGCCGTCTTGGTGGATACCAAGCTTCAGCATGGTGTCTGTGTTTAGAGTATCCTTTAGTGAACTAAACAGTTAACATGAGGAGCCCAAAGTGATTAACCCTTTTCAAGAGAGTAGACCAAGCCAGCCTGGATATCTTTGTAGCCTGGCCTGGGTCTACACTGTTGGTAGCTTAATTTTGATATTTTATACATGCAAATCCCTTAAAACTCAGATGAACCGTTCAAAAATTCAAATTACCGTAAAACAAATCCATTGCAAAAAGTCGGCTAAATGTTGAAGGTAAAAAATAGACATTGTAAATGTGTTAACTAGGAAGAATTAAAGATATCCATTTGTTGTTTATGTGATAGAAAATTCATGTAAAATTCAAGTGCTTAATATAATAATAAAAAAGTAATAAATGAATATTAAGCATCACCAAGTGGTAAAGATTTGTATATTCTTCTATTTTATGAGGTTATAAAAGATCTACAAAGGCTTGATAGATCAGAAAACTTGAGTGCAGAAAACTTGTAAACTCTAAGTCATTGACATTCAATTTTTAAGTACATGTACATGTATGTATATTTCTTGAGGAAATTAATTATTGAAGTTATCAATGTAAAGAATTAAGATAAAATGATTAATGTCTGGCTCCTCATTTGGGTTCAATTAAGCTTCCTGTGTTATCAAATTAAGGAAATTGATTTGTACTTGTAAAGTATGGTGAAGCAGTGTAATCTTACATCACTAAGTTTGTATGTTAAACCTGCCTTACTTGACTTCGGAACAGTCCATTTGTAATTCAAAGGGATTTTATTTTTTTAGGATACTTAAATTAATTTGAGTGACTGAGTAAACTTTTTACCTGCAGAAGAAGAAATTGATAAGCCTTTGCCATTAGTATAGAGCTATGTCAGTATGTACATCCATACAGTCTGACTAGGCTCTATACTGTTGGTAGTTTAACATCTGTATTTTGATTTTGAAATCCCTTAAACTTTGAATGGACTGTTCCGAATTCAGAGCTGAATAAGTCCATTGTGCTAATTAAAAAGGTTGTGGTTTTAAGTTATTATCCTTAACATAGATGCAGATTTGATGAGCAGTCTAATTATGTATTTGTTGGAGATTTGTCTGGGCAGATTTCAGTTCTGAAGATTAACAACCAAACTTTTAACCTAATTACAACTTTAAAAGGACACTCTGGTTTGTACATGTATATATTACAATATCCATATTTATGTTACATCACATATATAAATAGAAATGACTAAATGGTACAGATGTAGGTTGTAGTCAAATCTTTAGACCTTCTTGGATTAATTGAGTTCAGAGGTCATAATATAGTCCATGTCTATTTTTAACTCCACTTTTTGAAGAAATTTTAGGAATATATAGAAAATAACTTTCATAATGTATATCAGTGATATTTTTTCTACCAATATATCGTAATAATGATTAAAATTAGATTTGTGAAATTAAAACATTGTATCAACTTCTGTACTTTAAATATTATTTAGAAGTTCAAAAGTATTTATTACCTCCCTTTAACAAAAGTTTTATTAAACTAAGAATGGCATGTAAATTTCAATTGTGATTTTTTTTTACAATTAAATACTTGCGATACAGATACCAGAATATTTTTTCCAAAACATATTTTGATGTTTTCCGCTTTTTTTAATGTTACATCATTGTAATAATTTGATATTATTGTATACATTATGTGAAGTATTGAATGTGCTACCAGTATAAACAAATAACAAGAGCTGCAATTTTACTAGAACTCACTAGGTTCTCATTGACCGCCATACAGTGACCTACTTTCGGCTTAAAATTCATATCTTTGGCTAATACTCTGTTAAAATTGCATGGAGGTAAATTATCACCACTTTGTGCTTCAAACACTCTTTTAGGACATACCTAGTGACATGCAAAGCTGCATTTTGTGTCTAACTGTCTGATGTACCCTCATTAAGCATAGATTTCATACCTATATACCTCATCTACCAGAAACATTTTGATATAGATATTACTGTATATACATGTATGAATGACAGGTAGTGTAAGGAGTTTAGCCTGGGATGTCAGTAGGAGCTTGTTATTCTCCGGAAGTTATGACCAGTCTGTGATAGTGTGGGATATAGGTGGTCGTCAAGGAACTGCCTTTGAATTACAGGGACATCGGTAAATGTGTTTATTATTTATTGGGTTTGTTTTTTCTAATTGAATTTAGTTAGTTTTAAGCCTTTATTTTAATTGGATTGTGTAGGAACCTATAAGTTTATAAAGACACACTCACATCCGTTCTTGGAACCAACAAGTTCTGAACGATGAGTGTCGTGTTACCTACTCATGAAAACAATGCCCAACAATTGCTTATTTAAAGTTAAGTACTGTAGTAATTTATACATAGAATAGATTCTTGTTTAAACAGAAAACTACTTCCATTGGCTATCTATTTACAATATTAACCAATCAGATTTAAGAATTATTAATTACTCTCTAGTCTCTATACCTTTGAACATGTTTTATGTTTTTGGACTCCAGGTCAGAGGTCACAGTGCCACTATTTATATTTTGTCATTTCAAACTCTTGAGTTTATATGTTTCTTTTTTAGCTCGACTATTCGATAAGAATAAGTAGAGCTATTGTAGTCACCCAAGCGTCGGCGTTGGCGTAACCAGTTATGTTAAAGTTTTTGTAATAGTTTAAATATTTTCAAAGTCCATTGACATATGGCTTTGAAACTTTGCACACTTGTTCACCATCATGACCCCAACTTGTAGACAGGAGGAGGTAACTCTATCAAGTATTTTGACAGAATTATGCCCCTTTTTCGACTTAGAATTTACGTTAAAGTTTTTGTAATATCTCAAATATTTTCAAAGTCCATTGACATATGGCTTTGAAACTTTGCACACTTGTTCACCATCATGACCCCAACATGTAGACAGGAGGAGGTAACTCTATCAAGCATTTTGACAGAATTATGCCCCTTTTTGACTTAGAATTTACGTTAAAGTTTTTGTAATACCTCAAATATTTTCAAAATTCATTGACATAAGGCTTTGAAACATGTTGAAATTTTATACTCTTCTTTGAGAGCATAATAGGACTCTCTCCAAGGTCTTTAACTGTACTATGGATTTAAAGAAAAAAATTGCCTTTTTCTTTACTTAGAAAATTTTACAGAAAATTTTACCTTTTCATCAAGGCTTTTTAGCTCGACTATTCGATAAGAATAAGTAGAGCTATTGCAGTCACCCGAGCGTCGGCGTCGGTGTAACCACTTATGTTAAAGTTTTTGTAATAGTTCAAATATTTTCAAAGTCCATCGACATATGGCTTTGAAACTTTGCACACTTGTTCACCATCATGACCCCAACCTGTAGACAGGAGGAGGTAACACTATCAAGCATTTTGACAGAATTATGCCCCTTTTTCGACTTAGAATTTACGTTAAAGTTTTTGTAATAGTTCAAATATTTTCAAAGTCCATTGACATATGGCTTTGAAACTTTGCACACTTGTTCAACATCATGACCCCAACCTGTAAACAGGAGGAGGTAACTCTATCAAGCATTTTGACAGAATTATGCCCCTTTTTTGACTTAGAATTTACGTTAAAGTTTTTGTAATAGTTCAAATATTTTCAAAGTCCATAGACATATGGCTTTGAAACTTTGCACACTTGTTCACCATCATGACCCCAACCTGTAGACAGGAGGAGGTAACTCTATCAAGCATTTTGACAGAATTATGCCACTTTTTCGACTTAGAATTTACGTTAAAGTTTTTGTAATAGTTCAAATATTTTCAAAGTCCATTGACATATGGCTTTGAAACTTTACACACTTGTTCACCATCATGACCCCAACCTGTAGACAGGAGGAGGTAACTCTATCAAGCATTTTTTTTACTATCAAGCACTAAGAATAGTCGAGCGTTGCTGTCCTACCGACAGCTCTTGTTTTACTATCAAGCACTAAGAATAGTCGAGCGTTGCTGTCCTACCGACAGCTCTTGTTTCATGTTATAATTATTGCTGTTTTTTTTCTTTCAGTGACCGAGTACAAGCGCTTGTTTACTCAACTGCCTCTAAACAATTGATTTCCACAGCAGACGACAAAATTATAGGTATATGGGATATGGCAACTAAACGAATCGAGGTATCTTTTATTTATTTATTAGCTCACCTGAGCACGAAGTGCTCAAAGGTGAGCTTTTGTCATCACTCTGCGTCCGTCGTGCGTCGTGCGTCGTGCGTCCTTCAAAAAATGGCGTCAAACTTTTCAAACAACATCTCCTCCTAAACTACATGGCCAATTGCAACCAAACTTTACAGAAATGATCCTTAGGTGGACCCCTTTCAAAGTTGTTCAAAAATTTAAATTCCATTAAAAACTCTGGTTGCCATGGCAACCATTAAGAAAAACTTAAAAAATCTTCTTCTAAAAAACCGTAAGAGCTAGAGCTTAGATATTTGGCATGAAACATCTTCTAATGAGTGCCTACCAAGTTTGTTCAAATCAAAGCCCTAGGGTCAAAATTGGCCCCGCCCCAGGGGGTCATTGATTTTCCCTATATGCATATAGTAAAACTTAAAAATCTTCTTTTAAAGAACTCAAAGAGCTAGAGCTAAGATATTTAGCATGAAACATGTTCTAATGGGTGTCTACCAAGTTTGTTCAAATAAAAGCCCTGGGGTCAAAATTGGCTCCGCCCGGGGGTCATTGATTTTCCTAATATGTGTATAGCAAAAACTTAAAAAATCTTCTTTAAAAAACCCAAATAGCTGGAGTTTAGCTATTAAGCATGAAACATCTTCTAGTGAGTGTCTACAAAGTTTGTTCAAATCAAAGCCCTAGGGTCAAAATTGGCCCCGCCCCGGGGGTCATTGATTTTCCTTATATGACTGTGTATAGCAAAAACTTAAAAATCTTCTTTGAAAAAACCCAGATAGCTAGTGTTTAGATATAAAGCATGAAACATCTTCTAGTGAGTGTCTACCAAGTTTGTTCAAATAAAAGCCCTAGGGTCAAAATTGCCCCGCCCCAGGTGTCTTTGATTTTCCCTATATGCATATAGTTAAAACTTAAAAAATCTTCTTTTAAAGAACCCAAAGAGCTAGAGCTAAGATATTTAGCATGAAACATCTTCTAATGAGTGTTTACAAAGTTTGTTCAAATAAAAGCCCTAGGGTCAAAATTGCCCCGCCCCCGGGGGTCATTGATTTTCCCTATGTGCATATAGTAAAAACTTAAAAAATCTTCTTTTAAAGAACTCAAAGAGCTAGAGCTAAGATATTTAGCATGAAAACATGTTCTCATGGGTGTCTACCAAGTTTGTTCAAATAAAAAGCCCTGGGGTCAAAATTGGCCCCGCCCCGGGGGTCATTCATTAGCTCGACTTTTTTTTTTTAGATATATACATAGTATATATATATACACATATATTTAATATTTATATATATATATATATATATATATATATATATATAAATATATATATATATATATAGATATATATATATATATACATATATATATATACATATTATGATATATATATATATTATATATATATACACATATATATTTAATATTTATATATATATATAAATATATATATATATATATATATATATAGATATATATATATATATACATATATATATACATATTATGATATATATATATATATATATATATATATATATAGATATATATATATATATATACATATATATATACATATTATGATATATATATATATGTATATATATATATATATATACATGCATACATATACAACCAAGTTTGTTCAAATAAAAGCCCTGGGGTTAAACTGGCCCCGCTCCAGGGGCCTATATACAGGTGAGTGATTTCAGGGCCATAATTGCCCTCTTGTTTATTGTGTTTATTTTTAGCTCACCTGAGCATATGCTCAGGGTGAGCTATTAGGATCACTCTTCGTCCGTCGTCCGTCGTACGTCGTCCGTCGTACGTTGTCCGTTCACACTTTTCAAACGACATCTCCTCTGAAACCATAAGGCAGATCATAATGAAACTTCACAGGGATGTTCCTTGTGTGAAGCCTTAACAAAGTTGTTCAAAGAATTCCATTCAATGCAGAACTCTGGTTGCCATGGCAACCAAAAGAAAAAACTTCAAACATCTTCTTCTAGAAAACCCAAAGAGCTAGAGCTTAGATAATTGGCATGAAACATCTTCTAGTGAGTGTCTACCAAGATTGTTCAAATAAAATCCCTGGGGTCAAAATTGGCCCCGCCCCAGGGGGTCATTGATTTTCCCTATATGCATATAGTAAAAACTTAAAAAAATCTTCTTTTAAAGTACCCAAAAAGCTAGAGCTAAGATATTAAGCATAAAACATCTTCTAATGAGTGTCTACCAAAATTGTTCAAATAAAAGCCCTGGGGTCAAAATTGGCCCCGCCCCAGGGGGTCATTGATTTTCCCTATATGCATATAGTAAAAACTTAAAAAATCTTCTTCTAAAAAACTCAAAGAGCTAGAGCTTAGATATTTGGCATGAAACATGTTCTAATGGATGTCTACCAAGTTTGTTCAAATAAAAGCCCTGGGGTCAAAATTGGCCCCGCCCCAGGGGGTCATTGATTTTCCCTATATGCATATACAGTCAACTATCGTTATCTCGACATCGCTTTTCTCGATATTTCGTTATCTCGATGAAATTTTGAAAGTCCCGATTTTCTTCCTTCTTTATCTATATTGGAAATATTTGTTTATCTCGATATTTCTATTTCGATATTTTCAGTATCTCGATGTAAAATTTCAGCCCCAACAGTTATTTTCACACTACTATCCTTTGTTTATCTCGACTTCGTCTGTTCCCTTCAGACGTGTGAAAAACACAATCTAGACGATAATTGCTCAATTAATAGCGCGTGTCATAATGACGATTATGTTTGTAACAAGTTTAGCTGTTTTTATAAAAGTTAATCTATTTAGCGTGTTGATTGACTTATGTCCACAATGAGTGAATTTTACATTCTTTTTAAAAATTCGAACACTGTATCAATTCATTATGACTTTAAATGTAAATGAAAAAGTGAAAGTATAGAAACGTTATCGTTGCAATATTGTTTCACAACATCACCACCAAATCAATCAGCGGTGGGACAATCTCGAGAAAGACCCGATAAATAACCTTGGAGGATATCCGGATCAACCATATCCGATATCCGATTCACTATATTGGTGTATTACTGAGTAAACCTCACTATGTGTTTTTATCACAGACACCCGTATTTCCGCTGGTAAACATCCGCTTATGTTACTTTGTTAAATATTGACTAGGCCTATGAAAACAAGACATGGGGATATTATAGTTTATTTGATATAAGGTATGCACATGTCTTTTGTAAAAATCAGTTTCGCCTTGTTCTAACCCTAATTTGTTTATTTCGTTATCTCGATATTTTTTGGACGGTCCCAATGACTTCGAGATAACGAGAGTCGACTGTAGTAAAAACTTAAAAAAATTTTCTTTTAAAGAACCCAAAAAGCTAGAGCTAAGATATTTAGCATGAAACATCTTCTAATCGGTGTCTACCAAGTTTGTTCAAATAAAAGCCCTGGGGTCAAAATTGGCCCCGCCCCAGGGGGTCATTGACTTTCCCTATATGCATATAATAAAAACTTTAAAAAATATTCTTTTAAAGAACCCAAAGAGCTAGAGCTAAGATATTTAGCATGGAACATCTTCTAATGGGTGTCTACTAAGTTTGTTCAAATAAAAGCCCTGGGGTCAAAATTAGCCCTGCCCCAGGGGGTCATTGATTTTCCCTATATGCATATAGTAAATAATTAAAAAATTTTCTTTTAAAGAACCCAAAGAGCAAGAGCTAAGATATTTGGCATGAAACATCTTCTAATAAGTGTCTACCAAGATTGTTCAAATAAAAGCCCTGGGGTCAAAATTGGCCCCGCCCCAGGGGGTCATTGATTTTCCCTATATGCATATAGTAAAAACTTAAAAAATCTTCTTCTAAAAAACCCAAAGAGCTAGAGCTAAGATATTTGGCATGAAACATGTTCTAATGGATGTTGACCAAGTTTGTTCAAATAAAAGCCCTGGGGTCAAAATTGGCCCGCCCCGGCTGACATTGATTTTCCTGATATGCATATAGTAAAAACTTTTAAAAATTTCTTTTAAAGAACCCAAAGAGCTAGAGCTAAGATATTTAGCATGAAACATCTTCTAATGAGTGTCTACCAAGTTTGTTCAAATAAAAGCCCTGGGGTCAAAATTGGCCCCGCCCCAGGGGGTCATTGATTTTACCTATATGCATGCATATAGTAAAAACTTAAAAAAATCTTCTTGTAAAGAACCCAAAGAGCTAGAGCTAAGATATTAAGCATGAAACATCTTCTAATGAGTGTCTACCAAGATTGTTCAAATAAAAGCCCTGGGGTCAAAATTGGTCCAGCCCCAGGGTGTCATTGTATTTAACCATATGTGTATAGTAAAAACTTAAAAAAATGTTCTTTTAAAAAACCCAATGAGCTAGAGCTTAGATGTTCAGCATGAAACATCTTATGGGTGTCTACCAAGTTTGTTCAAATAAAAGCCTTTGGATTAAAATTGGCCCTGCCAGGGGTGGGGGGTGGAAAGGTCATTGTTTTTCATTATATGTGTGTATAAAGACTTAACATCATGAAACATCTTCTAATGGGTGTCTTCCAAGTTTGTTCAAATAAAAGCCCTGGGGTTTAAACTGGCCCCGCTCCAGGGGCCTATATACAGGTGAGCGACCTCAGGGCCATCATGGCCCTCTTGTTTATTTTTATTGAATTTTTTTTTAAATTGACATTTCGAAACATCATTTGATGTCACAGAAAAAAAAGAAGAGCAAAAGTCATCAAAATAAGATAATATAATAATTGAGATAATAAAAATATTACCTCATGTTTAAATTCAATTTTTTTTCTCATAAGAAAACCAATCGGTTTGTTATAATATATAATTGCTCTTGCAAAATGTGTTTTTAAGTATTTTATAAGCTCGAATATTTGAAGAATAGGGAGACCTTTTGTACTGACTCATGCCTCAGTCTGGGAATCACTCTTTGGTTAAGTTTTTGTGTGCAAGTTGGTATCTCAAAGAGTACTGAAGAGAATGGGTTGAAACTTCACACACTTGAGAGCATAATAGGTCATCACTGACCAATGCCTATAACTCTAAGATTGTTGACAAAATTATGGCCCTTTTTGAAATAAGAAAATTTTACTTATCCAGGTTCTTGTTTTACTATCAAGTACTGAGAATAGTTGAGCACACTGCACCACCTACAGCTCTTGTTACTTTGGTTGTAACAGAAAATGTTTTGACTTTAGATTTTTAATACAGTATCAACAAATAGTTAAATTGGTTACTTACTATTATGGTTTCATTGCAACCTTGTGTTTAGTTATTCTAAATGTTTACTGAGCTATTGTGGTGCAAAACCAAACCCTTGACATACATTGAATTATTAAAACTCTTTTGTGTCAAATTGTGTTCCATGATGAAATAATGTTTATTATATATTTTATATCAGACACCAGAGTGGGCGGAGAATGATCATTGTCAAAAATGTGAGAAGCCTTTCTTTTGGAACTTCAGAAAAATGTGGCAGGAGAAAACTATAGGTATTAGACAGGTAAGAATATATCTTAGTTTGTCCGAGACAGGCTTCCCTGTCTGATAGGGTTGTGTATTGCCAGGCAAGATGCAAAAACGATACAGAAGAGGGATAGACAAATTGGTTTGCCAAACACATTTATATTGACTTACATTATGAATTAATATTACAAGAATATAAAGTCACCAGTCTCTCTATCAGTTAATATGAAATACATGACATACATTGTAGATATATAATACTGATTCACAAATATAGAATTGAATCATTCAGCAAGACTAAATAACAACTTATTCATGTTGTATGATTTATAATGTGAGCATCTGATCAGGATCCATGCTGTTCGCTCACAAACTATAACAAGTAGAGAAACTGATAGCGAACAGCATGGATCCTGATCAGACTGCGCGTTGGTTTTGTCATGACGCGGCTCATATAAGATTATAATATATAATATGTTAATGAACATATAATAGTATAATGTAATATTTTATGTACATTTGTAAATAGTCTGGTGTTTTGTATTTTGCTCTACACATTCTTTTCCAAATCAGTAACTGTACTTTGCTCATGTATTGCTAATTAGAGGAAATTTAATATCTAATCTATTTAGAGATTTCAGGGTGTACTTTTTCATTTTCATATTTACTTCATTCTTGGACTGCAATAATGCTAGATTTGGACATACAGTCGACTCTCGTTATCTCGAAGTCTTCGGGACCGTCAAAAAAATATCGAGATAACGAAATGTCGAGATAAACGTATGAGGGTTTGAACATGTCAAAAACTAATTTTTACAGAAGACATGCGCATACCTTATAAGTCAAATAAGTACGATGTTTCATAATCTTGTGTCAATCCTTATAATAAAAATTAAAAATTTGTTACATAATTTAACGGATGTTTACCAGCGGAAATACAGCATTTAGGTGCTATGTGATTAACACATAGTGAGGTTTACTCAGTTATACACCACTAAAACAAAAACGTTGTTTTCTAACTTTATTTATTTATTTATTTAGTACTTTAACATTGCATAATAACACATATAAATTACCGGGTTGGTTACCGGGCCCTTCTCTAGATCGTTCAACTGGTGTTAGATTCTCAGACAACTTTATATTATCATCTGCCTCCGACATTTTCCCAATGTGTTTATATACCGTATTTATATTTCGTATCGTATTTCTTGGACTTTTAAAGTAATAATGAATTAAATACAGTGTTCGTATGTTTTATACATAACGGAAAATTCACTCATTTTCGACATAAGTCAATCAACACGCTAATAAGATAAACAATACTTTCAAAACACCTTGACTTGTTACAAACATATCATCATTAATTATTATGACACGCGCTTTGAGCGATAACCGTCCGCTTTGTGTTTTTCACACCTCTGCGGGAGGGCGCAGACGAACAATTATTTGTCGAGATAAACAAAGGATTATAGTGTGAAAATAACTATTGGGACTGAAATATCACATCGAGATACTGAAAAAATCGAAATAAAAATATCGAGATAAAGAAATATATTCAATATAGATAAAGAAGGGGAAAAAACGGGACTTTCAGAATTTGATCGAGATAACGAAATATCGAGAAAAGCGATGTCGAGATAACGATAGTTGACTGTATATTATTTTTGCTACAAAGAACAATAAAATCTAATGGTAATGCATGTTTTTGTTTTAAGATATTGCTTGGTTGGTTTGTTACTGCCCAATGGGCTAATCCACTCGGGACAGATATTCAGATCAGAACCGATCGGAACATATGACAGATTTTATTAATATGATATTTTCAGACTCTGTGTGGAAGCAAATGTGCATGGCTTGATACAGGTCCATTATTTTAATTAAATCTCAAAGGGCTAATTTTATTTAAAACTTCTCACATATTTTCAGCACCACTGTAGGAAATGTGGTAAAGCTGTATGTGAGAAATGTAGTAATATGAAATCTACGATCCCCCCAATGGGATATGAGTATGATGTGCGAGTCTGTGATGATTGTTATGAGAAGATAACTGATGAAGAGTGAGTACTTTATCTTTAAGTTATCTCCCCTTATAAGGTTAGTGAAGGCTTTGATTTTAAAAATAATTTGCCAGGAAATTGAATTATTTATCATCCCTGGGAGAATATTGAAATATTCAGTCTATCTTTGATAAGAAAGTGTACTTTTAGACTATTTCAATAAGGATGTTTGGTGTGATAACATCAGCTGTTCGGCTTTGATTTATTCATTTTTCATAATTTAAAATCATGGGAAAGACATGGTATATAAACTGCTCTGTACATCTGGAATTAAATAAATCTAGTGGACACATTAATTTGATATTTTATAAGCAATTACGTATAAAGAACCACTTAAGATGTGAACAGAAATCACATGTTTTTGTATAGCATACTTTGAGATATTTTGTCCCAGAATATTTTCGCTGTTTTAGCTAAAGATGTAGAGGTTATATTTTCAGGTGTGTATCTTTTACAGTTTTAAAGCAATGGCAAAAATATGAATGATAATTTCATTAAAAAAAAAACATCTCTGATAAACTGTTTTATTTCCTGGAACTAAAACAAAAAGAATAAAGAAAAACACAGTTTCAGTAATATTGTTTTGACAGAAATTGTTATGTTTGATTTAGTACAAATTATTTGATAATTTCAGACGAGCCCCTTTAGCAACATTCCATGATGCCAAACATGCAGCAGTGTATATGTATTTAGAAGAAACTAGAAAACGTTTAATAACTGTAGGCAAAGACAGAGTTATAAAGGTAAGTGTATTCTTGTTGACTAGGCCAAATTGAAATGACATTTAAGGTCTTGTTTCTTTTATAGAATTAGATTTCCGTCTGAAAGTTGAAGGTTTTATGTTTTGAAATATAACTTTTCTGCAGGCTTATTTTTAAAGACACATTCATAGGTGGAAATGACTGCAACTAATAATCTCAAAGAAGGCAAAAGTGTATAACACCAGAAATAAACAGTTTTTTGAGAAATGAAAAAAGAAATTCTAGGTCCAATAGGCTTTTAATATGCATGTAGGCTATAAAATTCTATAAAATTGAATCTAGTTCTAATTTTTAGATCGACTATTCGCAGAATAATTGAGCTAATGCAGTCACCCATTTGTCGGCGTCGGCGTCCCTGTGGTTATGTTTTTGTATGTAAGCTGGTATCTCCATAACTACTGAAGGGAATGGATTGAAACTTCACACACTTGTTCTCTGTGATTATCTTAGATGATTGGCACAAGTCCCATAACTCTGATTTGCATTTTTACATAATTATGCCCCTTTTTCGACTTAGAAATTCTTGGTTAAGTTTTTGTATGTAAGCTGGTATCTCCATAACTACTGAAGGGAATGGATTGAAACTTCACACACTTGTTCTCTGTGATTATCTAAGATGATTGGCACAAGTCCCATAACTCTGATTTGCTTTTTTACATAATTATGCCCCTTTTTTGACTTAGAAATTCTTGGTTAAGTTTTTGTATGTAAGCTGGTATCTCCATAACTACTGAAGGGAATGGATTGAAACTTCACACACTTGTTCTCTGTGATTATCTAAGATGATTGGCACAAGTCCCATAACTCTGATTTGCTTTTTTACATAATTATGCCCCTTTTTCCACTTAGAAATTCTTGGTTAAGTTTTTGTATGTAAGCTGGTATCTCCATAACTACTGAAGGGAATGAATTGAAACTTCACACACTTGTTCTCTGTGATTATCTAAGATGACTGACACAAGTCCCATAACTCTGATTTGCTTTTTTACATAATTATGCCCCTTTTTCGACTTAGAAATTCTTGGTTAAGTTTTTGCGTGTAAGCTGGTATCTCCATAACTACTGAAGGGAATGGATTGAAACTTCACACTCTTGTTGTCTGTGATTATCTAAGATGATTGGCACAAGTCCCATAACTCGGATTTACTTTTTCGCATAATTATGCCCCTTTTTCGATTCATAAATTCTTGGTAAAGTTTTTGTGTGTAAGCTTGTATCTACTGAAGGGAATGTATTTAAACTTGAAGGGTTTGTACCTTTTCGGACAATTTTATGTATTCATATAGGTAAGCATTTTTATACTCAATGAAACACCCTTGTGACAAATTTTCGAATAGTCGAGCGTTACTGTCTTCCGACAGTTCTTGTTGCATTTTAAGCTCACCTGAGCACAAAGTGCTCAAGGGTGAACTTTCTGTGATCACTGCATCTGTCGTGCAGCGTGCGGCCTTCATAAGTTGGCATTAATCTCTTAAAACAGAAACTCCTATACATATAGGCCAATATTGTTAAAACTATGAAGGAATGTTCCTTGTTTTAGTTACTTATATTGATTTGTATTGTTAGTTAGTGGGTTCAGTTTTCTATAAGTAGAAGCTACTTGGTTATTAACGTGCTACATTGGTTTGAATTGGGGACAGAAGCTCTATATCTTTATGTCTCTATGTCTTTATCTATTATTACTAAATAAGAGAGGGATAATTGAATTTGAAATTGTTGAGGCATAAGAATTCCAGCCACCATATATCCATGGATCATAAGAGGCAACTAAATGGTTTATGCATCTCTTAGCTCCAGCAGGTGAGGCTGGTGTTTGCTTTGAAGTATGTAACACCTGAGGTTAACCAAAATTATCTTTCCTGTTGCAGCGCCATATGACCATAACTTTGTAGGTGCGCTGTAAACCAAACAAACAAACATTGAAATTATATAATTATGATAAAAAACATAAATAAATATAACAATATCTTACTATATATTATTTTTTTTATTTTTACAGATATGGGACCTGACAAGTGTGTTACATTAGTTATACATTAGTGAAGAACAGGGAACAACATTTAAACAGCTCTATATATCTGACACTGGAGACACCGGCATAAAACAAAAACATTTTAGAATGTGAGGTCACCTCACTTGGTTTAGTCATCTAAAAAAACTACTGTAATATCAGATTTTTTCTTTAGACCAAAATTCTGCAGATTTACATGTTGGGTAACAGAACACTAAATGCTGTGAAAATTATATAAGATACATTGCGTGCATTTATCTGGTGCCCTGCTTTTTTTTTTCAATAAACCTTTTGTAGTATTTATTACACAAGAATAAATTTATTGCCAATTTTATAAAATTTCAGAACTAGCAAAAATTAAACCTTGATGAAAATATCTGATTTGACAGTACATGTATCTCATAATACATGATGATTTGTGAGATATTATTTTGTATATTCATTGAAAGGTTGTATATTTGTAGTATTATTGGAAGAGAGAAAAAATGGGACAAACTTGATGATATAGTTTTGATTTTAAGGACCCTATCCAATCTTGATTTCTTTGATGTTAAAATAATTGATTTTTTGAGGCCTTCATTTACTAAAGAGTGGCAGACGTCATAGTCGCTTGATGAAACCACTTCCTGTTTAGTCATCACAGGTTCCAACTGTGATTTGAAACTGTATAATGTATAAGAAGTCAGTTATTTTACCCTAGCTGTGCTGAATTTGTATAACAGAATTATAATGTTTAGAATTTTGCCCATGGTTTAAGCACAGGGGTACGACTCCTATAATGTTTATAAAAATATATGTATGATGACCTAAAACATAAATCCAAGGGCAGAAATTTATTTTTTGTCCATTCCAATTGCACTATTAAAGGTTATCAAACATATTTTATGAACATAAAAGGAGTCATACCCCTGTGGGTTTAAGGGATTTGACTACCAAAACACTAAAATTCAGTGAATTCATACTGTAGTATATTGTTGTAGGCAAGTTGTTAATGTTCTGATACTGGTCACAGCATTATAATAATAATGGTACATTGTATAAAAACATTTTCAAATTGATATCTGTTAAAAGGAAAGACTTAAAAAGAAGGTTTTGGCTGCACAAATTTTCATTCAAGAGAGATGAAATGGCTTTATAGGTACATACAGCATTTAATGTAATTTATATTTATTTGTTTGCTTTGATTTTAGGTGATGAATAGTTAAATGCTAATTTTAGGAGTAATTGATACTCTCCGTTCTTGCTCTGTCTATATGCACTCTCCAGTTCTTGTTTGGTACGCTGATAGGTGCTTTGATAATGATCTTGATTGACTGAATTTTGTTGGGGACAGCATAAAGTGAACTTGTTTGGTCATGAACTTATCATACTTTTCAAAGACCATAAGCCTAAAGTCCTCATACCTGGGATAATCAGGAGAGCTGAAAAAGATGTAGAATAATCACACTTGTAATTTTACTAGAATTCATCTTAATATTTGTGCTTTTTGAACATTTTATCAAGATAGGAAGGGGATGTTATCTTTGCTAGGTCCTTCCCAGCCATTAGATATCCATAAAGGATAGAGATTTTTAATTTTGACACAAGAAAATTTTTCTTTATCTTAGATGTATGGTTTTAGGATTTATTGTGCATGTGCTATAGTTTTGAAGTGTAAATGATAATATTTGTGTTACATGAAAGAACAAAAAAGGGGAACAAGTTTTTACAATATAATGCATTTTTTCCCATTTAATTTCAGTTCAGCCACCACAATGTAATTAACCCTTAGGCCTGCTGGCGGGATGATTCTACCCATATGTCCAGTTTAGACCTGGATAAGCTGGCATGTCCGTGCCATCTAATCATGGTCTGCACTGTTTGCTATTCAGTGAATAATGTTAATTGTCATAATAAATTTTTAAGAATGATATTTTACTCACATGGTTCTACTCAGGTGCCTATTTGTGCCTGAAATAATGCATGGATGGGCATCTGAGGTCTTCCTCCACCAGTAAAGCTGGACAGTCGCCATAAGATGTATACTGTGTTGGTGTGACGTGAAACCCGACTAAAAAAAAAACAAACTCCCATGGTTTTCTATGAAACTTGCTCACAAGAGCAAATGAACATATTTTTATTTATGTGATGAAAACAAACAAAAACATCCACTAGTGTTGAAGTGGTTGCTGCAAGTTTTTGCTTTAATGTAGAATTATTGTGTAGAATTGCAGATTGGTATTGAATTTTTACATGTATTGCTGTGATATGGAAACAAAATGTGTGCTGTATTTCTTATGTTTCAAGTTTCTCATCTTTTTTTTCTATTATATTTATGTTAACAGTCAACCTGTCCTATAGAACAGATTATCAAAACCTCCGTGCTTGGGTGGTTATTGGCTCTATATCTATTTTTCCTCCTTGCTGATGCAGGTTCAAATTTTGCCACTTGTGTTGAATATTTATTGTTATAGCTGTGCGGGATGCTTACTGTAGGTCAGTAATTCTACCCTGCATAGTTCAAGCTTTGTGCCTAAAATTAAGCACTACAGGAGCTTTCATCAGTAAAACAGTATGTGATGTCTCCCTCCCTCAGTAAGAACGGGAACTTCACTAATTTCACTTTAACGGTGACAGTGGTAACTGGCTTAGCTCAATAGGGGGAGCATCAAATTAGTAATACAAGGGTTGTTGAAGCATAATTTCTCTGTGACAATTAATCTCGGACATTGAGTCTAATGGTCATTTGTCTCTCACCGCTGGTTCAGAAATCATGTAGGATTAGTACTTGGTCATTTAGTATTGGTAATTATTATTAGTTAGTTATCATAGAAAGCTTATTAGGTGAATCGACCACCGAGAAATGACCAAAAATGTGTTGAAATTGGAATAAAAACCAAGGGGGAGGGGGACAATTGTTTACTCAAAATCCAACCAAAATATGAAGTTTATTCTTAGAACTGGTCTGTCTGTTTGTGTATGATATTAGAATGTGTGTGATATAACTATGAAATAATGGTCATATAATTGTTTAAATAGCATATTTTGTTGTTTTTCTTATTAGCAGCTACCTTGACATCAAGTGTAGAAATTAAAATAGCCTATGATAAAGCCATAGTCTCATAGTCCATGAGTGCAAGAAAAAGATACATGTATGTTCCATAGGTTATCATATTTTATTTTTGACTTTTTGAAAAAAAAAATTTCCAAATATATTTGTAAGATAAACTTGGAAGAATTGACATAAAATTCATTGTCTTATGCTGCTTGTTTCTAATACAATGCAGGTCTGAATTCCACCGTTTATATATCCCGGTTCATATTTTTATAGATTTATTTGCAAACTAGGGATGATTGGTGTTGCTTTTAAACCGCAAGGTTGTTTGTGTGAGTTTATGTCCAACCTGTAGTAAAATAAGTGCTAGCCTCGTTTGATATGATCTCTGAAGAAAAGTATGATTATGCATCAGTCAATTTTAACAACAACCAAATTGACTAGTACATGATTGATTTGTGTTTGTAGTATATGTAACTGGACCTGCTTACACATTGAATCTGTCAACTTTTTAACTTGATTGTTTGAAATTATATTAAAACATGTAATATATATATATATATATTTTACATTGTGTATTTATCATCCACAGTTTTGTGATTGCTTTATGATTTTTTTTTGCATTGAGCTTACTTTGATCTTAAATACAAAGGTCACCTTTTGTGCATAGGTCATTTGTTTTGGTTGACCCTTCATGTTTGGGATCAAAGACTATAATTTATGTGGCCAACCCAATGTGTATAAAGGTCAAATTTCATATTTGACCCTGTATGTATAAAGGTCAAATTTCATGTTTGACCTTGTATGTGTAGAGGTCAAATTTCATGTTTGACCCAGTGTGTTTAAAGGTCAAATTTCATGTTTGACCCAGTATGTATAAAGATTAAATTTCATGTTTGACCCTGTATATGTAAAGGTCAAATTTCATATTTGACACTATGAGTATAGTGGTATATTTTCATTTTCAATCTTATGTGTATAGAAATTAAATATGAAATTTGACCCTATGCGTAAAGGTCAAATTTCATGTTTGACCCTGTATGCATCAAGGTCAAAATTCATGTTTGAAGGTATGATGATGTGTTTTGTCTAATGTGTATAAAATTAAATATAAAAGTTGACCGTATGTGTAAAAGGTCAATTATTGTATTATATGCCTTACTTTGATGTGCAATAAAATGTAACTTTGACATAATTTGTATCATTATTGTTATTCCATATGACATGTTGGATGAATGAAATAAGGTCATGTTTGCTTAACATTACATTGATTTTACGTACATTGGTTCTCTTTCTGTTATTAGTTTTTGTCAAGTAAGTTTTTTTTCACGTTTACAACATGTATTACTATGAATAGCATTAGATCAATGTCAGATCAATTTAATGCTGAACAAAACATTGTAAATGTAATCTTAAAATTTCTTATATAAAAAGTTGTCATTTCTTTCCTTTTGTAGTGGAATTAATGAATTATGTGTAGGTTTGTGTTAGTGAGTCAGCATGATGTGTTGAAATTAAATCCGTATGACATGACACAGTTGTGCGACAGATTTGATAGAATAAATGCTGACTTAACAAAAACGTACCTACTTAGTGGTTGAAATTATGTTTTTAATCTTTACATTGTGCAAGTATGATGCTTTGTTTTAACAGGATATTATTAAATGTCAAGTTAGTGCTGATTAAATGAATAAAATGTATCAAAAAAATTTGAAAAATCAAATCATTTCATTGGACAAAATATAATTTCAACCACTTACTTCTGTTTGTGTACATACTCATACTTCATTCAACTTTATCATGATTTATTTGGCACTTTGTTGTTTTAAAGCACCTTAAATGAATTGACTGTTATTTTTGATCAACTTGTAATGAATTTTTAAGTAGTGTAATGGTGAAATTTCTTATGAAAAGTTAACATTTTGATATTAGCCAAATAAAATTATTGTATTGAAATACAAGTTGTAGTTTCAAATATCTTACTCTTGGTTTGATCCATTTAATTGTTTAATCAACTGTCAATTTGATCAGTTAGATCTGTTAGACAAGAAATCTGTAAGATGATGAGATCTGTTGGACAAGAATAGAGGGCAGTATAGCCAAGTGGTCAGTGTCTTGGACTAGTAAGCTAAGGATCTAGCCAAGGGGGTTCAAACCCCATCAGGGGCTAGTTGTTGTTTTCTTTAGCAAGAAACCTTACACTCATTGCTCAGTACTGGTTGTTTCCAGGAATTGCTCAGTACTGGTTGTTTCCAGGAACAGAGTCAAGAGTGTGTCTATTAGCTCTAAAATAAATTCTGTATAAACTAAGACTTAAGGGAAAGGCCGTAGTGTAATAAGTTCCTGCTTTAAGAAAGACAAATTTACTATGACAAATTGGTTGAAAATAATATGAAATGGTAATAACTTTGTCCTCCATCATTGTTTCTTGGCCTCCTGGCTAAGTCTTTAAGGTTGCTGACAATGACCCACTTATAGCAAACTGCCTAGGTTCGAAACCTTACAGAAATCATGAATTCATTCATGTTCAGAAGCTATCCAGCTGGTTTACGGGAGGATGCTGGCTCTACTCAGACCGCATGTGACTGAAATAATGCATCGAGGGCCACCAAAGGTCTTCAATCAACAAGAAAACTGACAAGTGGCCATATTCTTTTTACAGTGTCCATGTAGTCAAGACCCAACCAATTATTTCTGTTTTGATTGATTAATGGCGAAGTTAGCATTCTTAATGAAGTAAGGACTGAAATGGAAAGTAGAAACACTAGTCAAATAACTGCTTTCTGGTAAATAATAACAAACTTACTCTATAAACCCGACAAACAAAAATGTTAATTTCAATGTAAATTTACATTGCTTTGTTCCAAGTCAACTATGAAGCAAAATCAGGGTTTTAATCCTTCTATTACAGAGGCAATTTTTAGGCTGTTTCCCCTTTGTATTCTTCAAAATCATGCAATTTTCCCTACATCAAGTTATTTCTTTCCCTTTTGCAAAATTAAATGCTGTGGGTTTTTTTCTTCAAAAAGTGAAAAAAGAGCCCTGAAAATAATCATTATTTGCCCTATTCCAGAATTCCAAACAAAGTGAATTGTGGACTAGGGTAGCCAACAATCCTAAAAACTCGTGCTTCTGATACTTTACTAAATAATTTAATGATTTTATCTCACCCAAAACCTATATATGTGGTCATATACATAAGACAAAACTACCGATGCATTGTATCTGATTAATTTTAATATGAAAATATCACATAAAACAACATCTTGTATAACAAAATTATATATAATATGAGCCGCCTCACGACAAAACCAACATAATGGGTTTGCGACCAGCATGGATCCAGACCAGCCTGCGCATCCGCGCAGTCTGATCAGGATCCATGCTGTTCGCTTACAGACCCTATAACAAGTAAAGGAACTGATAACAAACAGCATGGATCCTGATCAGACTGCGCGGATGTGCAGGCTGGTCTGGATCCATGCTGGTTGCAAACCCATTATGTTGGTTTTGTCGTGACACGGCTCATATATAATAATCAAAATATAAATTAATATTCAAAATCAACAAGTTTTCAATAAAAGATTATTACAAGAGAAGCTATATGACTTTAGGTCACAGTGTCATTGGTAAGGTCATTCTATTATAGTATTTAACCATTTACCACATGGATATATGTTTAAACGTATGTGCGACTAGTGCAGATCCAGATCAGCATGCATCTCCGTGCAGTCAGATCAGGAGCTCTCCACTGTTTGGGTTTTCAGTCAGAAATTCTTTTATGAATTTAAAAGTGAACAGTGGAGATCCTGATCAGTCTGCACACACATTTAAACACATGTCCATGTGGGAAAGGGTTAAATATGTTGTTATGTTAAAGCCTTACCCTGGTGAATTTATATATGCTGTCCTGCTTTCTTTTGGATCTGTCTAAACTCTAATTTTGATAACAACAACAAACCAAGATTATTTCAGTGACCAACAGTTAAAATGTTCGAGAATGCTCAAAATATATAATTATATAAATATGTAAGGTCAAAAAGCATGTAATATCTGCAATGACCGCTGTGATGTAGTTAGCAGTCCAGAGGCCAATGGTTTGAGTCCCTACGGCAGCATGCCATTTTTTGTTTGATTTTTTTCTGTGTATGTGTCTGTGAATAAATATATATTTTTTATTTTTAAAAGCTGGCTGAAAGCATTTGTACTGGTAGCAAACCAGGGAAAATATCACCTAGCAACTGAATTTATTAATGCAAAGAATAAATAAATAAAAATATACAACAATTAAGGTAGATTTGTCTAAATAACACAAAAAGCAACCCGTTTACATATATTTATAATAAGCTGATAAATAATATCAAAATATATCAATAATAATATTGCACACATGACAGGACTTGTGTCAAATGTTAAGGTTTTGTTTATTTTAATATATATATAAAGGCTGTCCCAATATTCTGTGACAAAACTGTTAAAAATCTTAAATTAAATGAGTACATATGAAAGATTTAAACATGTTATAAACACAAATATTTGAATCGTTTGTACAATTTTTTCACAGAAAAATATCAACAAATAACAAAATTGTGACACAAATATCGTAATAACAATGTGAACGACTGCACGATTACATGTATATCATACTTTTTTCAAGGATGTCCCCATTAAATTCTTTCTTTAAAAATGTGGTCAAACACGCCCTGTGTTCACTAAGAAAAGATTAGAATCAGGATCAAATGATCCTGATTTTATTTTCATTATTTATAAAACTAAAATTGATAATATTTTTGCTAGAACTAAATGGTACTTTTTCAAAATGTAAAAAGTGCTGATTTGCAAAGAAACAAACCTATTTTGGGATAAAATCGATGAAAAAGAAAACAAAATTAGAAATAACCTGATTAAAATAAGGATCAATATTTGGATCAACTGTAAAATGCCCATATCTAGCAAAAATAACAATAAAAATTATTTTAGAATTTCATAAACATGCCATTTCAAGTCCAATTTTTATCAAGTTATTATTATATATTCAATCTATGAGGATAAACAATGGAGAATATTTGAGCTTTTAAATTTGAACCTGATCTTGATCCTTAAATCTTTGTGAACATGGGGCCAGGGTGGCAGACATTAATTCCTTGTCAGAAACAAACATCCTGCCAATAACACTTCCTATTGCTGTGGGAAATAGGCGATAGAGACCGGTATTCCTATTTGTTGCTTTCTTCTGATTTCTGTTTTCTTTATTAGAGATCTCTTGCTTCAGCCATTTGTAAATAAGAGCTGCTTTGTAAATAAGAGCTGTTTAAGTCAAAATAATTATTTTGTTCTGTTCATTTTGTTCTGATGTTGCTAATGATTTAGTTAAGTCATAACATACCTGCTGCGCAACATAAAGCTGCGCGAAAGCTGTGTAAAAAATTCTTTGTTATTATAATTGTTATAGCATTGTTTTTCCCATGAACACATAATATTAAGGTTTCTCACAATGTCATGAGCACATAAAATTAAGCTCACCAAGGTAGGACACAACAAAATTATAATAAATCAAGTGTAAAAACTATGATATTTATATAGTCTTAACAGCATCAAATGCTCTATTCATAATTCAAAAATCACTGTTTTTTTCACATGTGTGGACTTTGTCCCTTCATATTAAGGAGCTAAACATGAATATAAATGATATTTTGCTAGTTCTGTCAATGTCCCTGACACAAATGAAATATAAGTTGATATCATTTCACTGTTGATCTGACTGGAATTTCTTGGCTAGATCATCAAGCTGTGACATCAAAGACTGGTCTTGTTCCGGTGTAGATTTGGTCCAAGCTAGAGGCAGGTGTGTTGGTACAATTTTCCTGTCTGAAATAGTGTAATATATTTCTAGTATACCATTCTCATTAGGGATGGCAACGAGTAACCGGTTAACCAAGTACTCGATCGAACGTCCGAATATCGGTTAACCAAAATTGATATTCGATTACTCGGAAAAAAATATTTCAATTCTACTTTTTTGCGATTTAGAAAGATAAGTTCAGTAATTCGGAAATGTACACGTATCTGTATAAATACTTGTTAAGTGCAATCAAAACATCCTTGCAGACGTGTGAAAATGTTATCGTAAGTTTAGTTCAGCAGTTCGACACGCGTATGGGATTAAAAACACAGTCCTGTGTCGTTTACGTCATTCGGCCTCTTATTATATTTAATCACCTTTAAATATTAGACAGTTTGTAGCCGAAACTTGTTTATTATAAAAACGTAAATAAATACAGAATTTTATGTTATAGCTTTGTATTTTGCTACGAGCAGCAGTGGAAAAATTGATATCTCACGAGACCGAAATATCAATTTTCCAACATTGCGAGTAGAAAAATGCATGGGCTACAACATAAGAAACCTTTTCGTTTGAATTATAAATGATTTTCATTATACTACACTTCTATACGAAATTTCAGAAAATGAAATGTAGCTGTCAAGAAATAAATTTATGACCGACGGATGAATACGTAATTTTTGCAAAACCAGCCACGCCTTTTATAATTTTGGTTTCCGTTTCCAAATGCTACGTTTAAAGCTAAAATCTGAACCAACGTCAAAAATAGTACAGCACTTCCATATATGGTACAGTATTTGTCACTAACATAATACGGAATTTTCTAATCGTTGAGGCGTATTTGCACTTTAAGTTCATCCTGTATTTGTAGGTATATAATAAATGCTGTCATTGACATTTCTTATGTTTATATTTATATATGTATTTCTTGCAGTCCTATTTCTAGTTACGAATTCTACGAATTAAAATAGAAAACGAAAGTAGCATGCAGACGGTGTTGATATTGTGTGATAAAACTTTAAAGATCATTGGAAATCATCCGAGTAACCGAGTACTTGATCGGAAAAATGACCGAGTACTCGAGTATTGATTTTGGTATTCGTTGCCATCCCTAATTCTCATACATGTTGACAGGGAAAATTTAATTTTCTAAAAGGTCATAACATATCTGAAATAAAATAAATGTTTAAGGTCCCTAGATAACTTCCAGTTCTTGGTGCCCTTTCATGATTTCATTTACAGGTAGACACCAAAGTAGATTCATCGACATGCTTTAAGTAATTTACCTTCCCTTAAAGGGTTTGAAAACTGAGGTGAATGGACTTAGATTTAAAGAGAGACACAGGCAAAATTTTCATTTTCTTAGTTTTGAATTTTTCATTCATTATTCTGTAAATGCCCTCAAAATGAATATATTAGACAGTAAAAGGAACAAAACTTTTCTCCATATAAAGAATAACATGATGATTTCCTAACTTGACCCGCATGGGTCAGGTCAGAGCGCTAGCATTTCACAATAGTTGTCAAAGTGAACTCATTAAAGAACACGTCAAATAAATGACGTAGGCTTGTTTCAATCATACAATATCCACAATATCTGTTAGTGTAACTTCAACGGTTTGTTCAAGTCACATGACTTGTATTAAAACTATTTGGTGATTCTATTTGCGTCTAAATTTTGTTCAACATATATAAATATATTTACGCTTCAAACCCAAAATATATAGAATTTAAACAGAAATTCATGCTGAAACTTCAAGAAAAGTCATTTTAGCGTGATTTGAGTACATAAGATCATTTTAATATTTTTGTCATTATTTTGCCTGAATATCCCTTAAAGGCTAATAAATTAAATTATTTGACAAAAATCTCATTTATTGATTAATATACGCAACTGTTAGACAACATAAATCTCATTTATTGATTATGTTATGCAACTGTTGAATGCACTGATTTTTTACATGACAAATATAATTAAATTTATAATGGTAACTTTGAAACTTTGATTAGAAAAGGATATAGAACAATTCTCTACATTTAAAGAACAGAAAGAACAAAATAATGCTAGATTAAGACTTTTTATAAATCAAATACATATAAAAAATAATTTTGCTAGAAAACCCATTCCAATAAAAGTGCTGATTTTTTCTAAAGACTGAGAAAACAGATGTTGTCATCTTAGTGCAGTAACAGGTTAACTCCTGTTAAATTTCAATAGGAGGTAACCCATTACTGCACTAAAGTGATGATGATCAATCAGATCTGCCATACTGAATGCTTGAGATTCTCAATGACTGTTAAATCAAATTAAGAATTCCTTAAAGCTGAGGCTTAAATATAAACATATTTTGTATTTCAACTGTCTGTAAGTAGATATTAAACTTACCTTGATAGAAACAACCACTTTTCAGTTTAAGAGGGTTTTCAGCAATAGCTAACCATACAATAGTATCAGCACCTTCTTCTACTGTCCGTAATCTAGTCTTCATCTTCTCATAAAACTGTGGCATTGAAGACTGTACAGCTTACAATCAGAAATAAAATTATCATGACAATAATATAATTTCAAAATACATGTAGTTAAAGGAACTCTACTGAGGTAAAAAAGTTTAAAAACTTAAAATTTTAATTTCTTATATGAACTGGGGCACATACATGTGAACTTTTTTCAATGATCAAGTTGGAGATTTTTCTTTAAAAAGAGGGAGATTTTAGAATTTGCAATAAACAAAGAAGGAAGTTCTGACATAAAAAATTGGGAAATTTCTTTAATTTGTGAAAATACCCCTTATTTTAAGAAAAACATTTGAAAATATGGCTGAAGAAAGTGCGAGTCTCCCGCCTAAAGTGGGACAGTTCACATGTATGGGGGCATTTAAAGCAGATAATAAAGAAACATGATTATTCAAAAAGCAAATTGAAAATTGTATGTTTGTGTAATTCTTAGTCAGATTTTAAAGAGAAGCATTTCAAAAAACGCTTTCATTTTTGGGTCTTTTTTTTTCACAATTAAATTAATTACTCTTGAAGAATGAAGTGAGCAAATGATCTGAAATTTTGCACACATGTAATGAATGTAGACCTATTTCAAATGGTACAATAACATTGAAAGAGTATTTCAAGTCCAATCATGTCAAAAAACCTCAGTCGAGTCCCTTTAAAAGATCTACAACTTTACTTATGTTTACCCTGCTGACACTGTGTAGAGCACTTATCTTGCTTTGAATCTGGAACTTTCTTAACACAAAATTTTACTTCAGCTGCCAAAATGGACCTCAATATCTGCCTGTTTAATGTGCAATAATGCTTTGCCAAGTTTCTGCTAAATACTTATCAAGTGCAAAATCTTAACCAAGTATAGACAAAATAAACACAACAGACTTGTTGCAGGGTAATTATTTTTACAGCATTTTCTGTAATAAAGAAAAAAAAAGAGCATATAAATACCTGGAGTATCGGCCCAGCCTGGATGCATGGTAGAGAAATGAATGCTGGGATATTTAAGTGCGTACTGTTCTGTCATGACAATCTGCTGTCGTTTATTCTGAGCGTATGCTGTTGTCCCGTCAAACTTACTCATCTTTTCAAACTGCAGGTCAGTTACATTAAGTGTTTGTGTCAACATACCCCCAGATGATACAATTATCTAAAAGACAATAAATAACTTATATTTAACACCACAAATCATTACAAAATGAACAAAGAAATGCAGCACTACCATACATATATTTTGTATTTTAATTTAGTCTCATCAAGAATAATACAGTACTACTGGTAAAGGCAACTCGTCTAACACCCACTTCTTCTTCATATTTAACATGATAGCTTCCATGTGTGTAAGAATTCTTTATTTCTTGTAGTAAAAGAAACCATAGCCACCATCAACTTACTTATTGCTTTGTATTACTATGATAAAACTGATTAAACTAATTAATCACCCTATGTCAAGCCTGGCTAGACTGCTGGTCCCCTCTAGAGTGAATTGTAACAAGTGCTTCAAGTTTTGGCAAATTACAATGTATTGCATCTCTCTTAAATAATATACTCTGTGCATGGTTTTCACAACATTATGCCAATATTTCAAGTTATTGTCTTCTTTACAATCAAATACTTCTAGCCTATTACATGTATCATCTTCAGAAAAAAAGAAACAAGAAACATAGCAATGCCATGAAACCAGGTTTTCAGTTATCACCATTGTAGATATATATGTTGAATTTGAAATACAAATACAAGCAACAAACAATGTAACTATGTGCAATGTAAAACATGAATAATGTAGGAGGAATTGCCACTGAAGAAGTGTTCACTATATATTCTGTATAAGGAAAAAAACAAAGGGCCATAATTAGGTCAAAAATTATCCAATCACAAAACCCCGGGCGCTTTGTGACAAAGCTTTTGTGAAAGTTTGAACAAAATCCGTTGAGAAATGTAGGACGAGTTCAGCACAGAAGTATTTGTTCACTATATATTGATAATTCTGTATAAGGAAAAAAAACAAAGGGCCATAATTAGGTCAAATATTATCCAATCACAAAACCCCAACAATATGCGCCAGGGCACTTGATAACAAAGCTTCTGTGAAAGTTTGGTCAAAATCCGTCGAGAAATGTAGGAGAAGTTGCGCACGATAGAAATTGTCCACTATATATTCTGTATAAGGAAAAAAAACAAAAGGCCATAATTAGTTCAAATATTATCCAATCGCAAAACCCCGACAATATGCCCCAGGGCACTTGGTGACAAAGGTTCTTTGAAAGTTTGGTCAAAATCCGTGGAGAAATATAGGAGGAATTGCGCACAGAAGAAATTGTTCACTATATATTCTTTATAAGGAAAAAAATCAAAGGGCCGTAATTAAGTCAAATATTATCCAATCGCAAAACCCCGACAATATGCCCCAGGGCACTTGATGACAAAGCTTCTGTGAAAGTTTGGTCAAAATCCGTTGAAAAATGTAGGAGGAGTTGCGCACAGAAGAAATTGTTCACTATATATTCTATATAAGGAAAAAAAACAAAGGGCCATAATTAGGTCAAATATTATCCAATCGCAAAACCCCGACAATATGCGCCAGGGCACTTGATGACAAAGCTTCTGTGAAAGTTTGGTCAAAATCCGTTGAGAAATGTAGAAGGAGTTGCGCACAGAAGAAATTGTTTACGCCCGCCCGTCCGTCCGCCCGCCCATCCGCCGACATACCTCAATCTAATAACCAGTTTTTTCCTTCGGGAAACCTGGTTAATAAAACAAAATATAAACTTACCACTCTTGGCTTATTTGATTTTGACAATATTGGGATTAAAGCTGTGGTCAATATGTGAGTGCCTGAAATTATACATTTTGTTATAGAATATGGCGGAGAGAACATTTTAAGAGGGGGAGATGACATTCATTAAATAAACATTACCAGAAGTACAGCCATTTTATTAACCTATTATTAAAGAATTTCACTGGTGAATTAATGAAGTATACCATATGCAAAGTGTCCCCCAATGCAAATTGTCCCCCCTTTAAAAGACCATAAATTAAACCAGTGTATGAGTTATATTGAAACCTTCCACTGCAACAGTTGTTATTGCAATTGTATGATTGCAGTCTATTTTCCCGCAAGACTTTTTGATTGTAGCAGAAATTTACTAAAGATGGATACTTATTTTTCATTTATACAAATCTTTCACATCTAATGAAGACAACAGCACTTAATGCAGTGTTAAAAACAATCATATGGGGAATAACTATCAATAACCAATTTAAACAAAGTTAAAAAGGGACATAACTCCAGAAAAAATAGCTTTCAGAATTATGTCTCTTATTTAGCAACTTCACCTTGTCTTCACAAGCAAGTATTCCAAGTTTCCTTTTGATAACTTTAAAAATATTTAAATAATGGGCCACATTGAAGTTTTTTTAATGCCAACGATGGTAGTGTTAACACGGCCATCATAATAGCTGGGTCTTTTCAATCCATAACAAGAAAACAATAAACCACACATTGTACTTCATATTCATAAGACAGGCTTTAATGTAAGTACAGTGAAAGGGACTGATATCCCAATTGTAGACAGAGAAAGAGTTCAAAAGAAGACTTTTAACATTAATACCTAATGTGTTTGTTGCAAAGTTTTTCTCCAGACCATCTTCAGTAAGCTCTCTAGTGTTTATCATACATCCAGCATTGTTTATCTGTAATTTAAATATTACCTATATTATGCTGTGTTTTTTTTTTCAGAGTTTAAGAATGAAATAGAGAAGTACTACCAAAAGACACTGAACTAATATTAAATAAATAAGGCCACACCAAAATTGTTAATCCTTAGATTCTTTTCATCTAGCAAAAAAAAATAATTTAAACAGATGAGTCTGAAGTGACTAAACAGCACAAAGAGCACATGGAGTAATAGTTTTTAGGCAACTGTTTAAACATTGGTAAAAGGCAACAAAATCAGTTACTACAATACACATGAAACTATTTTTGAAAGGCCAAAAAAATAATATTTTACCAGAACATCCAGCTGTTGTCCAGATTCTCCAAATTTATGTGCAAATTGATAAATGTCCCTTGGTTTAGATGTGTCCAACTGGTGCAGATGAACATTCTGTAATAATGTTATCATTGTATGAAACAGTCATAATATTATCATTGTATGAAACAGTCATAATATTATCATTGTATGAAACAGTCATAATGTTATCATTGTATGAAACAGTCATAATGTTATCATTGTATGAAATAGTCATAATATTATCATTGTATGAAACAGTCATAATATTATCATTGTATGAAACAGTCATAATGTTATCATTGTATGAAACAGTCATAATATTATCATTGTATGAAATAGTCATAATGTTATAATTGTATGAAACAGTCATAATGTTATCATTGTATGAAACAGTCATAATAATATCATTGTATGAAACAGTCATAATGTTATAATTGTATGAAACAGTCATAATGTTATCATTGTATGAAACAGTCATAATATTATCATTGTATGAAACAGTCATAATATTATCATTGTATGAAACAGTCATAATATTATCATTGTATGAAACAGTGATATACAGTCATACCTGTACAGCAGACCATATATAAGTAAAAGATTTGACTGCTGAAATGGTGTACCAGTATTTAACCCTTAACATTCTGTAATAATGTTATCATTGTATGAAACAGTAATAATATTATCATTGTATGAAACAGTCATAATATTATCTGTCAGATAATATTATGATTGTTTCATACAATGATAATATTATTACTGTTTCATACAATGATAACAATATCATTGTATGAAACAGTTATGTACAGTAATACCTGTATGACAGATCATATCTTAGTAAAAACTTCGACTGCTCAATAGTGTACAAGTCTCTTTAACATTCTGCAGCCAATTGTATAAAGGATGGTTAAAATACATATACCATAGTAAGTTAATTACAGAGGTATATATTGTGGTTAGGTAACCACAAAGTTATTCCATTTATAGAAACAAATTAACCACACAGTAACCTAACCACACAATCAAAAGTGATTAGCCTTTGCCATCAGAACAGAGCCAGGCTTACCTTACATCAATGCTGTCTGACCAGGACCTATACTGTTGGTACCTTAATTTTGTATTTTGATATTTAAATCCTTTAAAAACACTTTGAATAGTCTGTTCTAAATTCAAAGTTTAGCAAATTCATTACAAAAGTTCAATCAGGTTAAAGGCTCTGATGACCACTATCATTCATATATAATATGTATGAGGTCACCTGTAAAAACAAACCATATTTCCCTCTTTCTTCACTGAAATTTATTTGAGTAACATTTCATGTTATGAAAGATCAACAGAACATAACGTCAGATCTCTATACATTTGTACATGGTAATGGGCCTATCTGGCATTTAATCAACAGGTAATATTTTAATTAAATACCAAGATAATTTTGCATGATTAAAATGTTTCCGACAATATTCTTCTATTAGCAGATATTATATACATTAAACAAGAAACATGGCAATGCCATGAAACCAGGTTTTCAATTATCACCATTGTAGATAAATATGTTGTATTTGAAATACAAATACAAGCAACAAACAATGTAACTATGTGCAATGTAAAACATGAATAATGTAGGAGGAATTGCCACAAAGGAAGTGTTCACTATAATTATATTCTGTATAAGGAAAAAAACAAAGGGCCATAATTAAATAAAAAAAATTATTCAATCACAAAACCCCGACAACATGTGCCAGGGCACTGGATGACAAAGCTACTGTGAAAGTTTGAACAAAATCTGTTGAGAAATGTAGGAGTTCAGCACAGACGAATTTTTTCACTATATATTCTGTATAAGGAAAAAAAACAAAGGGCCATAATTAGGTCAAATATTATCCTATCACAAAACCCCGATAATGTGCGCCAGGGCACTTGATAAAAAAGCTTCTGTGAAAGTTTGGTCAAAATCTGTTGAGAAATGTAGGAGAAGTAACTGTTGCGCATGGTAAAAATTGTTCACTATATAATCTGTATAAGGAAAAAAAACAAAGGGCCATAATTAGGTCAAATATTATACAATCACAAAACCCTGACAATATGCCCCAAGGCACTTGATGACAAAGCCTCTGTGAAAGTTTGGTCAAATTCCGTTGAGAAATGTAGGAGGAATTGCGCACAGAAAATTGTTCACTATATATCTTATATTGGGAAAAAAAACAAAGGGCCATAATTAGGTCAAATATTATCCAATCACAAAACCCCGACAATATGCGCCAGGGCACTTGAGTACAAAGCCTCTGTGAAAGTTTGGTCAAAATCCATTGAGAAATGTAGGAACAGTTGGGCACAGAAGAAATTATTCACTATATATTCTATATAAGGAAAAATAACAAAGGGCCATAATTAGGTCAAATATTATCCAATCACAAAGCCCCGACAATATGCGCCAGGTCACTTGATGACAAAGCTTCTATGAAAGTTTGGTCAAAATCCGTTGAAAAATGTAGGAGGAGTTGCGCACAGAAGAAATTGTTTACGCCCGCCCACCCGCCGACATACCTCAATCTAATAACCAGTTTTTTCCTTCGGAAAACCTGGTTAAAAAGACACATTATCATTAAAATCATATGTGAACAAATAATGTAAGAATAGAAAAGTTGAAGTAGTTGTGTGACATACCTCTTTATTTTATCAATGAAAATAATACAAAAATTTCGAAGAAAATTACTTAACATTAAGTGTGTAAATATAAACACCTGTAACATGTATACAAATAATACCTGATTCCCAGTGGTTTCAATTATTTCAGTTTTGGCTTCCTCACCTCTTTCCTTATTTCTACAGACAAGATGAACTATACCGCCTGAAATTATACCAAATATTGTTCTGGTAAAAAACGAAATGTTTGAGCAAATAAAATCATTTATAGAAAAAAAGTTGCATTAAAATATTCACTATGAAAACTTATAAATTACATTATATAATCATTTCCATATGACATTATATATTATGAGTTTGATTTTCTTGATTTTTTTTACTCATCTGAAGGATCTTAAATATTCAAAATCTATAACTATAATGCTGTTAAACCTTTTTGAGCAAGAGTCAATGCTGCAGCCTTCCCTAGTCCACTATTGGCACCAGTTATCATGTAACTTTTATCAGTTACAGATACATCCAGATCACTTGTGTTAAACTCCTTGCTGGCAGCAGCAAACCCATTTCTGTACACAATAAAAGCATATTGTTCCAAATAAGTTGCAATAAAACATGTTCACAAAATGTTCACATTTTTTACTTTATATTTTTAAAGCACAATCAACCTAAAATATATTCATCATATATAAACCTTATTTTCTCAAAATGAAATGACTAAATCCTTTTGAACAACTCATATATCCTTGACCCAGACTGAAACTACAAAATAACTGTATTAGTTATAAGTCTTTATTTTGCAGTTAAATAGTTAAAGGAATAGGAATGGATGGATTGATGTCTGTCTAATATAAATATTCATCATTTAAAAAGAGGTACCATGACAGTTTTTCTGTTGACATCAACCCTATAAGTGAGAAATTCGTGTTTTAAGACACTATTTTTTACTTGAGAAATAAGTTCATGGGCGCCGCCATTTTGGCGTTCTGTCATTCTCGCGAGACAGACGAGACCGAGATTGTGACGTGTTACACCCACTTCCGGTATAGGTGTACACGCTGGTACAACTGAAATATATCTTGATGAAGAACTTATTAATCTTATTGCGTACATTATATATTATTTATGAAAACATCATATGGAACTGAATTGCTTAAATTAATTAATTAATTGAAGACGCCGCGACATTAATTATCATTTGTCCGATTTTCAAGCTTGCTGATGATCCCACCACATGATTTAAGCAATGACTGCTTAATTTTCAAAGATAAACCATCAATTTAATTTGGGTACTATGAGAAACTTCTTCAAATTGACAATATATCCTTTTATTTTGTACTTAATTGTCGCTAGACAAGCTGTCCGAATAGGGTACATCGCCGGTCATGTATCTTTTTTTCAGGTAAAATATCAACTAAATCCAATATGCAGAGATCTGCTTAGGACGCGATTTTCCGCCATTGACGCTAAAAATGAGAATGGCGCAGAAAAATCGGCAGCCAGACTAATATCGTATGAAAACAAAACTGTCCGTTAGGTTATTTAGGCACCCAGTCAAAACTGGTACCAACAGCAACGGGTTGCCCATTCCCCTGTAATTACGCATATTCTCGGGTTTATCCAGTTCCCTATAGCTTTTTTCCACGTTATCTACTTACCCAATTTCTTTCCCACACAGATACGCATTTCTACTACCGTAAATTCCAATAAAACAAAAGATCATAAATCTACTTAATATCTAAAATGATTATTGGTAACTGAAAAAAAATGTGTTGCTATTTTATGACATGCTGTAATTTACAGTATAATTGGAATAGGTGTGGAACTTAATTTCCCCTAAGGTCATTCAGTTCACTGATGAAGCGTAAAAATATAGATGTCTATTTCGTCATTAGAATATTTGACAAGGGTGATTAACCAATCAGGGCAACATTGTGCATGATCAAAAGGTCTGTCGGCACAGAGGCATACAAGGAGCAATAAAAATCGTCAGTACACAGTGTGACAGGAACATTTGGTGCAAATTAGGAACAATTAAAATGGACAGTGCATAAGTAGTAAGGACCAGCAATCGTGTGAATAAATTATGCAAATTAGATTTTTGAGCAGCCAATAAAAATGTTTTGCCTGCAGTTAATATTAGGCTACGATTACGATGCGCAGCATCATACGTTGACAGACATGTTAACAATTTACTTTTCAAAAGAGTTGCTTATATTTTTGAAATGTGTACATCAATTATCACACCTTTAAATTTGAAAGTCAGAATCAAACTGCAAAATTTTAATTACATGTACTATTAAGAACACGTTTTAGTAGGATTTTTATAATAATGATAATTATCGCCGTTCAATAATTAACAGCCAATTATTCGTTGGTGCGTTTGTTTATTTAATCGCATTATTTGATTGTGAAACTTTGTTAAATAATAACATGTGTTTTTATTAAATCTGTGAAATATTGTTTAATTACATTAAGATGAGACTTTAATGAACATAGCATTGTTTGGAGTAACGGGCATCACTGGCCTGAAGTGGTGCGACCGGTAGACGTTGATTTTTTTTTTGTTTCTTTATTTATTTATTTTTTTTTTTTTTTTTTTGGATATTGTTACGTATTTTGAACCATAAAAAATCTCCTCTACACCTCCTGTAAAAATTAAATTGTCTGGTCAATACTTTATTATATTAATATTTCCCTACGATTCAATTAGATTTATCATAAATCTAAAGATGTGGGGAAATGACATCACGCGCACCTGTTTTTATACGGCCAATACACAAACATGGCCGCGCTTACTGATTTGTAGAAATCGGTGATTTAGCGATTTAAATTTTGTTATCATTCGTTTAATATTATTATTTGGCGGCATAAAATTTGCAGATTTATTATTTATAGTATTCTTTTTCTGAAATCAAGTTTTTATTCTAACCTTGTCTTTCCCTTTCAACATTTAGCTTGTAAAAAGCTATTTGGGCTTATACTAGAAATTTCCAACCACTGGCTGGAATGGCTTGTGGTTTTCTGACCCTCCTCTCTTTGACTGTACACAATAATCTATATAAATTTGTACCAATGAACAAGTTACATTATGCCACTTTTGCAATTTTATTTCAAGATTTTTGTTCATATGCTCTTATAATCTTTCAGTCAAAGGTCTGTATATCATTAAACACAGCTTGTGTCAAAAGTATTTCAATAATCAAAATTTATCCGTGATTTAAAATTTACTGTATTTTGATAATTAAGATACACCATAAAATGTACATGTATTTACATTTCATATTGTTTATATTGAAATAGAAAGTTTCAATGTTGAAAGAAATACAAATGTGGGAGCCTTAGCCATGGTTGTCATCTGCTTTATAACATAAGTAACCTTCCATTATGAGAAATGATCAATTACTTTTCTTTCAATTAACAAAATATTTCTATTCTTACTTTGTGTATTCTTTCATGCCTTTGGCAAACCAGACAATATTTCTATAAATTGACATTGTTGACAATCAACCTGAAAGCAAAAAAAAGAAAGTATATATATATTTATTACAAACAAGTTTAACAAACTTAGGCTTATTCCTTATCAAGTCAATGATCTTGACCTTTGACCTACAAATTAATATGGGTCATATTCTGGCCATGGACAATGTCCCTACTTATTTACATTAAGTATGGCTCAATTCTTCTCAAGTTATTATTTCAAACTACAAAGAAATGTTACAATAAAATTTTTCTCTAACAATAAAATGGATCTCCTCAAAGTTTTATCACAAATAGTGGGGGGTATATACTTTTTAGACAGATACACATGTGTTCAGTCCTGAAAAAACATTGAAACTTTTAAAAGAATTTATAAGCACTAGTTATCCAATCCAAAGCCTACAACCCCTAATATGTTTATAATTTTAATACAGAATAATCCTATGTAACCAAACAAAGATAAATTATTGAAATGTCACAGAAAAAGGCTATTTAAAAAAAATAGACGAAATCATTCCCCACCCTACCTATGGAAGGCACTTTTTTGTCCAGGTAGGTATTTTCAATAAGGGGTAACCAATAGGTATCTGTCCAAGGGGAGTATTTTAAATTGTTCAAGTTGTATGTGTCAAAGGGGGTATTTTTCAAGAAAAGTATCTCCCATATATATATGTTGTCCAAGGGGTATCTATCCAAGATGGGGGTATTTAAAATAGTTCATACTGGGGGGTTATTTTTCAGGAGAAGTACTTTTCATAGGTTGTTTGTCAAAGGTGTACAAGGTCAAAGAATTTCAAACCAGAAAACCATCGATCAACCATTTAGGATAGTAGTTTACAATATAGCTTGATTATGGTTTTTCATGGTAACTTTTGGAATGTAAAGTCCGGAATAAGGATTAATAGTTATTTTGTAATTCTATAAACTAAATCAATGATAAGTGAGTTTTTCCATTTGAATTTCAGAAAATAAGGTGATTGCTAAATTTTCAAAGGTCAGGTAAGTCAGTTGGCAAATTTTACAATCCTCACCCTAATTCAACAAGCCATGGAAATTTCCTTCTATTTAGTGTCCAAAGAGTATCAATCAAGATGGATGTTTGAAACGAGCTGTCCAGGGAGTTATTTTTTAGGAAATTTTTGCATTCTAACTTCTTTAGTATAGACTATAGTGTGTCCCAGGTCTAGCTGTCCTCAAGCCTTCAAGGATTTTTGAAAATGCTTGTCCAGCGATATCTTCCAGGAAAAGTGCTATTCAAAAATTGTCTTAGGGCCGCTTGTCCAAAAGGATTAGTGGATTTGTCATAAGATGGTTTGACATGAAATGGATGAATTTTTACTTGTCCAAAATTCTAAAATTGCTGTGGCAGGCAGGGGCCAGGGGAGTATACATTTAACACTGTTTAATTCAAAACAAATACTTTATGGGTACCTACTTTATGGTAAATCTTTGAATTCATATTGTTATTAATGTCACATGAAGACGTGTAATGGTTTTATCTTAAAGCACATAAACATACTAAAATTATCCACATTTCAAAAAAGGTTACGAATGTTTTGAGTACGAATCAACTGATAATGGTTATGTAACTAAATTGATGCAATTTATTAAATCATGTAATACTGGTAACGTGTCATAAAGTTACGAGAGCAAGTACAATGAAAATATTTAAATACTTATAAATGGTGTCAATTTTCTTGTTTATAAATCATTCTTTTCCATGTATTTCTTTAAAATATTTTTTGTAAATAAAAATACCATTTACTTTTCAACCCGGAAATGATGGAAACGTCATCAATTTATGTGTAGCAATAAGTTTATTGGTCGGCAAAACTTACATGTGCGGATCTTAAAATCTGGCAAAGTTAAAATTTTAGGTACTTGTAACTATATTTGTAAAGAATGATTTTACTCGTTTTATTATAGAATTTATTCTTAAGAAAATACTGAAAATTCGAAATTCATTGAAGAAATCATTTTCAGCTCTTTAAGTGGACATTATATATCATCATGAGCTATATAAGACACAGTATAAGCCGTTTTGAAAAAAATTCATATTTCAACATCTATAATAATTATAGATGTTGAAATATGAAATGTTTTCAAAACGGCTTATATTAAGTTTTTTGATATATATGATCAGTACATGTGCTGGGATTGACAAATATGCATTTTATTTGGATTTTAAAGGCGTTTTGAGCTCCAAACCCCAAGTGTCTGTGGATGTATGTAGTCTTCACGTACCTCCTCGACGTCGATGTCTACCTCGTGGATTTTGTCGAGCAACCCCGTTGAAGTTGAAGTGGAAGTTAACTGTAAAAGTGAAAGTAGGTTGTCAGCACGAATCGCTTTATTTTTATTATGAGAGCTTAAGCGTTTTTAGTACAAACACATTTTTGTTACTATTGAAATTTGAAGAAATAATACGACAAATTCATTCCGAAAAAAATGAAAATAAAACTTGCTTCTAGATTCTACTGCTTTGAACACACAAACAGTTTAACATCTCTGTACAGAACAGTAGAAGTGTACAGTAGAGAAGAATTTCAACGAAAGAACTTCAAAGTAGATCTATTTGTTGTTTTTTGTTTGTTTTTTTAATGCTACTATTAGATCTACCAAGTGTATTAAAGACATTAATACACGTCAGAGTAGGGCATCGGCCCTGAAATGAATAATGCCCTCGGGGCCATTACAGTATTCATTTTGCGGGTCGATTATCACCTTCCGGCCCTACTCTGCCGTGTATTAATCTCTTAATCTACTCAGGGGCGAAGCTAGACCGAAATTTATGTTACGCACAGTTTCGCGGGGGTAACAAGTTCCTGGATTTTCACCATTTAAAGATGCTATAATTATGCATTTACATGTCAATTTGAGGTCCATAAATCAGAAATTTAAGTCAAAAGAAATTTAATTTTATCATTAATAAATTTTAAGACATGTGTTGATATGCGTCGTGATTTAGAGTTCTAACAATATAATTGCTAGATCGTATACTGTAACAATATTTCAAGAACGATATATACGTTATATAGATAGATCTATACATTGCATGAATTTAAAAGACGCAGATAAATGACGCTGTCACTTAGTCAGCAAATAAAAGTGACGAACGGCGATTTTTGCATCGTCAGCCTGAATCTCCCTGTCTCTGTGAATGTGCATAAGTCCTAAGCCAGAGAGACGACCAATGGTCATCGTTGAGCGCAAGAAGGTCTTCGGCTTTCTCATGCTGTTGAATGAACGTAAAAACTTGCATTGCCAGAAGAAAATTCAGGCACCTGTTAACATTTAGATACAGATCTGTTAGTAGATCCTGTAGCACAGATTCTATCGTGGACGGAGCCTGCAACAGTGAAGATTCTCACTGTGTCTTCCAGCGTCCACACTCGCGGAAAAAGGTTTCCTGATCGTCCACTAAAATCTTCTTACAGTACGACAGTATAAATGTCAGCCATCCGTTGACAGTCCAAGTTGACTACTCTGTCTAGCAAGAGAAACTGAATAACGTATCTCTCGTTATTCTGAAGAAGGCGATTTTCTATCTCGGAAACAAAGTGATCCACAAATGGCAGATACATGTTGATCCGCCAGTACTCTTATGGAGTTTGAGCGGGTGCATTATGGCGATTTTTCTGTATACCCCGGGTCCTCCACGCGGCAAAGAAGGCTGGACATCAACAGAATCTGCCATGCCGACTGCCTTCTCATATAAGGCACCCCACACCAACGGATCATTTCTCTCAACCGTTACAGGTCTGCGTTTTGATAACTTCTGCTTCGGTGGCAGCTTGGACTAAATCACATGTTGTTTACTGGAGAAGCTTAGATCGATAGCTGCACACTCCCTGACAATACATGTTCAATAGCTAAAAGAGTTATTATAAAACTGAACTGTGTAATTGCAGCTCTGTATGCTCCGGCCTTTGTGTCAACCTCTCTAGTGATTTGACGACCGTCCCGTACGCTGTTTTAAATTGTACAGCTTGTCCGCCCTGGCTGCCCATCTAGTTTAACAGAGCGTCTGCAGTTTCTTACGCTTGTCCATTTCAACTCGTTCTTGGTCACTTTTAGCTAAGGATGTCGGGAACTGAAAGAGACGTTTGACATAACTGCATCAAAACTTTAATTTGAACAAGGATGCAGACGCCAGGGAGAGTAGGACAGCTCCGCATAGCTGCAGCCTACGCTGAATAAAGAATTGTTGTCGCCTGTACCTTATTTTTTATTCCTGTGCTTATAATTTTTACAAACACTAAAAAAATCCAACCAGAATTTTAAATTGCGGGTAAAATTCACGCAAAATTTGTGTTTTGTAAGAAATTGATGAAACAATGTCGGGTAAGCAAGTAGAAAAAAGTCATAGAATTTCTTTATTTGAAAATGTAAAGTAAATATTTGGCATGTTGAATGTTGACTGGTCATTTTCTTTTCCAAAATGATTTGGGTAACGGACACGGGTTCTTGTTTTGTTGATAACTCCCACGCAATATTTTATGTGCACGCAATATCTTTGCAATTTATAGTCTAGATATTGACTTTAAAAATCATGATTCATGCATCTAGTCTTAAACTTTCATAGAATTTCCAATGATTTTATAAATACCGCCAGAGTCCGTAAAACGTTCCGAACACAAACGTGGATGCTCTATGCGGAGAATTAGGAAGGACACCAATGAATGTATGTCGAAAAAATATATATATATTGATAAAATACTGGGTTAACTTAATTACTTTAGATGATTAATCAATACTATTCAAAACTTATAATATGTTAATGAGGGATGCTGAATTAGGAAATATATATAATGGAAATAACTGGGCTAGTCAGATTAAAGAAATACTTTATAATCATGGTTTAATGTATTTTTGGCAAAGTCAATTTAACATTCAAATTATCGTAAATATGATTAAGCAACGGATATTAGATGTGTATTATCAACAATAGTGTTCATCAGTAAATAACTCTCCTCGTCTCGAAACGTATTGTTAATTTTTAACATGAATGTAAAATAGAAAGTTATCTCGACTCTATACAGGAGGCAAAATTCAGAATATCATTAACGAAATTTCGTATATCTTCACATGATTTGGCAATAGCTATAACGCGGGCGCTACATAAATATTCCTAGGACGGAATAAATTTGTTTAAATTGTAATTCTAATGTGATCGAAAATGAATATCATTTTTACTTATATGTCCAAAATTTAGAGAACTACGTAGAAAATATTTAAAACGTTATTATTATACCTGGCCTACATTACAAAAATTCAAAACTTTGCTAAGTGAAACTAACCGAAAAACTGTTCAGAATCTATGTAAATTTATATATTATGCTAATCTACTGAGAAACTAACATACATTCATCTTAGAAAACCTTTGACAATTACTATTGTATAAAAACAAGTAAAACCCATACATTTCCATTGTGTTTTATGTATTGTTTGCTATAAATATGTTACATGATGATGTTTTATGCAATAAATATATTGAATGGAAATGAAATATACAAATGTTTTCCGATGAACTCCGTGAAAGTTATCACATAAACTCCTGAAAAGTTATCATAAGAATGTAAACGTTCCTCCCCCGTGATATAGATATATCGACAAAGCAACAAACATTTTTGGGATTTTCAATAAAAGACAAAAACAAAACCATTTTTATTTGTTTGAGTCGTCAGACCAGAGAAATTTCAGAAACTGATACGCTTATTTGCAAAAACCGAAAGTAGTCCGAACTAGAAGCGGTTACTTCCCTTTATAAGTACACTAACGCCGAAAAATTAAGGGGAGATCAATGCGTAAAGATTGTCAAATGACAGGCGCATTAATTTTCACGGGGAAGAAAAAATAGTTCCCGATTGGTCAAAGATTTCTAATATTGTGTAATTCTTTACAGATATGCATGCTTATACTAAGCTCCATGATTATTTACATCAGTGTTAAACAACAGGTTTACCGTGAACAAAAGATCTCGAAATTAAAAAGGGTTACAAACCTTAATTTAGAATAATGTGGTTTTCTTCAGGCTATTATAACTTCCCTGTGCTCGAGGAGTTGCACGCTCGCTTAAGAAGCGAGATGTATGGAGTTCAAATCCCAGTTAAGGCAACTCACTTTTTTTCTCTTTTTTTATTTGTTAAGCCAAATGAACGTTGCAATGAGCCTTATAGCCAATTTACTACAGTTACAACACTGGAAACAGCATTGGTGGCACTATACACAAACAAATTGGTTTATAATCTCACAACCTTCACCTTTCCGATATTCTGAGACCCAAACAAATTCAGCGCCATCTGTGCTTTGATTGTTGTTGTTGTTTTACCGTTTAACCCTTTGGTACATTTTCTGCAGGTTGGTAAAGGCATTGAAAGCAATGTATTCCACTGTTAAATCATGTGTAAGATATAATAGTGTATACTCTGACTTCTTCGTTTCACACGTCGGTTTGAAACAGGGCGGCCCGTCATCGCCGTTACTGTTCATGTTTTTCGTGAATGACTTGATGAATAATGTCAATTCAGACATTTATGACATCTTTAGTATAAATGAAATGAAGCTGTTTCTATGATCAAGCTGTTTTTGCCAAGTCTCCAGAAAGCTTGCAGTTATTATTAAACGATATTGAAAATTATTGCACTGCCTGGGGTTTAAAAATAAACACATCAAAAACCAAGATAATGATATTTCAAAGAGGGAGATTAACTCATCATGACTTCTTTTTATATGGTACTAAGTTAGAGGTTGTGAATAGTTTTAA